GTCTGAGTTATGAACATGTGGTTTACATAATCGGGTGAGAAAAATTTTGCTATTTCAGAAAATGACCTTCCAATGTCAATTAGAGGTCAAATAAAGAATTGACCTTGAATAACCTTGAGCAATCACACTTATGGTTGTGCAATCTGCTTAAGCTCTTAATCCAAGTCTGCGGTCTGTAGCATCAAACGTTCACGAGTTATGCCTGCATGAAGGCGTAAATTGAAAAAAAACTACATTTAGTTTGTGTCATACATTTAAGTTTGCAATTCGAATTTTTTTTTATGTATTTATGATTTTATTTGAGGTAATTAAGTCGGTGCTCGATGCATCATCTTAAATAGTTCCTCAATAGTTTCCCAATACTACCTTAAAATGACCAGTACTCAGACCCCTTTGCAAATAAGTTTATTTAATGAAGGACGAGAAAAACGCCTAACAATAAATCCAAGGAGTGATCTCGACACATGGGAAAGTATATGGTCGATCATGGAATTAGCGGAATCAGACGAAGGCCGAAAGAAATATAAATGTTTGGCGTCGGGAACCCACCTATTAAATCTATCAACTCTGGCGGAATATCTTGATGAAAAAACAATTTATAATTTGACAGTTGCCTGTGCTGACTGTGACAGTATGTTCAGCTTTAAAAGTGTTACAAGTTGAACTTCGCACCCATTAGGAGTTTGAGAATAGGTTGAGGTCATTTCGGCCCCAAGACCTCTAATCAGCCGCTCTACTGAATGCTACTGGTACTTCCATTGCTGCCTGCTATCCTGAGGGAAACTTCGAAAGAAACCAGCTACTAGACGGTTCGATTAATCTTTCGCCCCTAAACCCGGATCTGACGATCGATTTGCCTGTCAGAATCGCAGCCCTCCACCTTTAGCTTCCAACAATAACAGTTAAAGTGGTCGAAATCAGAAATGAATGGAATTTTTTGAAAACACAAAATGAAATTAAACTATTAAAGGGAACCAAAAGGTATCGACATAAAATTGAAGCCAATCTGGTTCAGTGAAAAGCACTTCAAGATGCAAAGTTAGGGATACGATTTTGTTTGTCTTTTGAAAATGATTAATACAAATGAATTGATTTACATTTGATTTTGAAACAATGATTTTGATGATATTTTTAATAATTTATCAGTCGACTTTAAATGTAATAATCTTTTGCTTTTTTCGTTTGTTTCCTTTTCTTTTCTTTCAATTTTATCCTTTTTTCTTTCCATCCTCTTCTTCATCATCTTTTCCTTCCTCTTTTACTCCTTTTCCCCAAGTGATCCAGTCTTTAAGATGAAACCCAAATCAATTGAATAAAGTTTTGTTTAACCTCACACAGATTTGATTGTAGGCCAGTTTGATCAAATTACGTTGAGAAGAAGGACGAAGAAGATGAAACATTAACAACAGCAACAGCATCTAAAGCAAGATCAAAAGGCATCAACCAATAATCTTTAACCAACCTCAATCTACATTCCCCGTTATTCAGTAATCAACTCAGTAGTGAAGCATCAACATGAAATATCAAAGAATAAGATGAAAACAAAAGAAGATGAAGAAGATTGATTCCGTTCATTCAATTTTCCTCTTCAACCAACTAAAAGGAAGTCAATATCTTCCTATCAACATGGTAATGATAATTTTGCTCAGATGCTATTCAAGTAATGAGAAGTAAGAAAAGACTAAATTGTCTTCAAATTTCAGGGTAAAAATTGTAAAGAAAAGAAGAAAAAGCAAGTTGAAAAATTAAAAGTCAATTCAATTCTATTTGCACTTGGAATATCAGTGAACATTATCAAAGATACATTTCAAGAAAAAGGATTGACAATTTCAACTTGTAACTTTGTTCATGTTTTTCATTCAATATTTCATTTCATCATGCAAAAAAGATGATAAAGGAAAGAAGAAAAAAGAAGAAGAACAAGAAGAAAAAGTAATGAATATTTCGTTGAGAAAAATGCATCTAATGTAATGCATTTTATCTTTTTGAATTTCAATTTCTTTCTACAATTTTTTTCATCATCACCATGCTTTTTCCTCTTCTTATTTTTCATATCAAGTAGATGAATAACATTGATATACAAATACAATATACAGTTTGTATAAAGTAACAATAATATATTGTTGGAAAGCAACTCAACTGTAAGTGTCAACTGTTTTTGTTGATATTTCATGTGATAAAATTGAAGTTCACCAAGATTGTGAGTGAAAATATCTGTAACTGGAAAAGCAAATTTTAAATTTCCTTTTGTTCCGTTTGAATATTACATTTCACTTGAGCTAATATTTTTCCATTTGAATCATGTGATCGTGAAAATGAACGCCAAATTACATCTCATTGATAAAACATTGAAACCTCAATTGTTGGACAATTTTGAATGCAACAAAAAGAAACCAAATAAACATCAATAACGCATGGAAAACCTGATAACTTCAAGATTATTTTAAGTCAACCTTTTGGGTTAACAAGGATTCTCAGGTTCAGGTCAGAATAGGAATCATCAGGTTCTTTTGAATCTTATGAGATGTTATGAAGCTGTTTTGATGAAGGAAAGTAAAAAATGAACAAAACCAACATGTGAAATTCAATTCTGATAGAGTGGAAGAATGATTGAGAAAAGTGAATGAAATCAATGAAGTTGAAATAATTGGAACTCATAAATAAAATGAAACTGTGAAGAAACTGTAATTGAGTAAATAAATCTTGCAGTGAAAAAAAGGTTCAACTTTGTGCTAATGAGTGGAAAGAGTTTGAAAAGAGTTTAATTGAATAACTGGAAAAGAACAGCCACAATGAATCAGAAATTCTAACCCTAAACATATGATATCTGGGATGAGTTGTAAGCAAAATGAAACCACAATGAACATGATAAATGATTAAACTAAAACTGAAATTATTATGAAGCTAATAATGTGCGGTTTGTTATGTAAAGAAACAATGGGAAACAGTTTATTAGAAACAATTCAAAAGACAAATACAATCACAATTAGTCATGATGAGAATTAATGAAATCTAGATTCATGTGTGATGAAAGATATCGAAATTTTTTCTTTGGTAAGGTTTTCGAAAAAACTTTTATCAGTTTTGTTTTGAATGATTAGGATTTCGAATGAGTCTTCGATTCCTTCGACACAGTACCTTTTTCACAACGAAAATTAGTGTACTTTCAAGAAACGGTCTTCAAATGTTGACGATAGTCAATGATGGCCTGCATGGCCTTAAAGCTTAATGTTAATGATCATTCCATTTTGTTGATCTAATCATAGCTCGTTGCACTGATCCTAAACTTGTTGCATTAACTTTCGCAACAACGAGAATTATTCAGTTTCTGAAAAAGAAAGATGTACGGAATCGACTCATTGTATCTACTTTGAACTTTTTAAAGTTTGAAATGTCATAAAAATCAATTCCAAAGTTATTTTTAAAAACTCAAAGTGAGCTAAATTTTATTGTCCAAAAGAAAAAATTTAGTCTGATAAAGAGCTGAAAATATTGCATTTATAACATTCATGTTTCGATAGCAACCTTGAAAATATATTTCATTGTCTTGTTATTAGCTATTTTTAACGCATTAGTCTACTTTTGGTACCACGGTTCAACCGGTAAAAGCCTTTTCGCACAAAAAAGCCAAATCAAGAAGAGAAAATGAAGAAGGAATCGACTTATGGCGCCGTTTTGTTCACATTTTGTAAAGTAATCATGCATCTGGTGGCAGATTTATAACTGTCCGAGATGTCTCACTTTTAGATATTTAGATGACCATTCGCATCATCAAGCAATCCATCATATTTGCAGCACTTCAGTTCAAAGAGCATACAAATTCTGTTTGTACTGCAAGAAGTTTTGAATGGGTATTTTAAAAACCTAAAAGTGATCATAAACAATAGTCCATAGAGCCACTAATGGGCGGTAAAAGTGCTCTTGCTCGAGCATGCAAATGAAGGAAAAACATTCAGATTAACTCAATTTTAACCCGATTGAAAATAAATTGAAAGATTGAGCAAATTTAACCAAGATTTAGATGTTTAACGCTAAAAATTGAGATGAAAATGTGGAAAAATTTGTAAATGTAAACTTACCAGAGTCATTGAACTAATGAGGATCAAGGTGATAACAAGAGTTTCAAAATATTTATCCTCAACAAGTTTATAACACTTTGATCGAACCTCTCTCCATTTAATCCAGAAAGCTGTTTCTTCCAGGCAACATGGGAATCGATGATACCAATATTCAGGTAAACAATCATCCGGATGATCGTTAATGTTTACATCAGCAGTCACAGTAACCATTTTATTGGCATTCATCTCTTCACCCATAACATCTTCACCAGGCCCATTGAAATGGTTCAAGGGTGAAGGAGCCAACCGGTTAAGGGAAGAGTATGAATGTTGAAATGAAATGGGAACCGGACCTCCAGCTGGGTGAACCTTGGACAATTGAGATGCATTATAATGGTGAGCAGTTGGATGAGATGAGGGATGATTAAGATGATGAGACGGAGTCACTGATAATGATGATGACTGTTGAGCTGAACTGTCATTATTATTACTAACATTATTATTAACAAGATGCTGTTGACTCTCAGATGAACCATAATATCCACTTTCACCATGGTAGTCACCACCATGAGGTTGCTGTTGAACAAGATGATGATGATGATGATTATCATCCAATGGGAAAGGTGAACATCCATTGGCATCATGTAAGGACGGTTTAACTTTATTAACATTATTATTGTTGATGGTTGATGCACTAACTAACAAATTGTTGCTATTGAGTGAATTGTTAAAGTTGGTATTGTTGAGCGAAGTTGACCGATCATTTACATTATTATTATTAACAGTTGAAACGTCACCATGTAACCGATTACCTTCATCTGAATGATTTGTTACGGACGGAGATAATTTTTCAATGAGCGCCGATTCAGTTAGAATAAGCTTATCACTAGACAAATCTTTAACCGCTTGAGACAATTTAACTGAATTGAGAACAGTTTGAGCGGAACTTTTCAGAGTAACCTTTCCACTCTCTGTAAGTGAATACTCTAGTCCATCGGGACCGACAACCGTTTCACCATAAGCAGCAGCAGCAAGAAGCTTTTTATCGCGAATCAATCCAGACGCATTCAGTCCATCCATCATAATGATGTCTCCCTCATCGAGAACACTTTCACTGCCAAGCATCATGGATCGACCCACCATGCCACCACTTGATGCACCACCTCTACCCGGCCACTGTGCCGTGTCTCGAATTTGATTTCGCGTTTTACTGCGAAGCTGCTTAAGTCCGGTTAGAATTCGATTTTTTAACCATTTATGGGCTCGACCGAAGCGATCAAAGGCTTCTTGAAGTTTCTTGGTGTCGGCCGATTCCGAGGTTGGTGAGGAAAGGTTGGATGCACCGAAAGAGGAAAGGAGCAGGGCAAGGAAAAGGTTAAGCATAACAAGATGACCAATGATAACGGTGGCCAGAAAGAAGGGAACACAGACAAAGCCACAGACCAACATGCAGCTCCACATTGATTCAATCCATTCGCCGCACAGGACACGGAAAACAATCATGAAAGAGTGCATGAAATCTTTGAAATTCCAACGAGGAATCTCTGCATTCGGAAAAAGGTACACTTTCTTTGAATAATTGGCTCCAAACAGTTGCATTCCCATAACAGCAAAAATGAATACAATGATGGCCAGGACAAAGGTTAAATTACCCAAATCCCCTAAAGTTTTACCCATAATGGTGATCAAAAGGTTAAGAGTGGGCCACGATTTGGCAAGCTTAAAAACTCTTAAAAGACGGAAAGAGCGTAAAACTGAAAGACCTCGAACACCTTCGAGAAAAATTTCCAATAAAGACAAGGCCACAATGATAAAGTCAAACACGTTCCAACCTTCGCGAAAGTAAAACTTTGGACTTATTGCAATCAACTTCATGAAGGCTTCAATGGCAAAAGTTGCAGAGAAAAACTAAAAGCGATCGACAAAAGAAGGTAAAAAAAGAGGGAAAAAACATCGATATTAGAACAATTTCGTCTTGAAATTTTGCATCAAATCAATTCTTTAAATTATAATCAATGTTCAAAGTCAAAGGGAAAATATCAATGATTGATTCATTGGAAGACGAAAGCAATCAATTTAATTGTGATCGAGTCTATTTTGATGTTGGCTTTAGTCTATTTACATTATTGTCTTGTGGATAAATTGTTTGCTTATTTGATAATTTGTTGGTCAATCAAGTAAAACTGGTTTCTTTTTTTTAGTTGATTACTGAACTATTATTGAAAGCTTTGGTCAATCGATTGGAAAGGTTGGAAATTTTTGGTAAATTGTTTCTTGTGAGATTCAACAATTTCATTATTTTTCTCACTCTTAATTTGATTAACTGCCATTAATTATCTTTTCGTTTTCATCATGATAATCATTTGCAACTTGATGTTGTTGTTGATTGATTAAATTAAATTGATTTGGATTAACCATCATTATATTCACTTATTTTAATCATATCATTGTGAGGTCATTGAATTTGGTTGAGTCAAAGTATTATTTTCACTGTAACCTCTTTAAATAGGATTAAAGTTAAAGATCTATCGTTTGTAGACATGTTTAAGTGATTTAGTCTGAAATGTTGGTTAAATTAGATTAGACGAAACAAGAGTTAAAGACGTAAGTTAAATGCTAGATTGTTGATTGAACCAAACTAAAGATTAATCAAAAGGTAATTCAATTTCAACAAAATGAAACAGTTGAACATATTTTCAAAAAGCTAACAAAAAAGGTAACATTTTGATAAAAATCAAAATAAGAATCTTAAATAATTTTTTGGTTTTTAAAAGCTAATCAATCCAAGTAAAAGTGAAACCAGAATCACTTTGAATTGTTTTCTGGTTTTAACATTTTCTGGTTTTATTTGGCTTTGATTTTCAATTTGAATTGTAAATTTTAATAATAAAAGTGAACAAAGGTTGATCTAAAAAATCTGGTCAACCTTAACCAGAAAAAATGGCTCGTGATCAACAAGTAAAGAAAGCGTTTACAAACCAGATTTCCAGTTTTAAGGACATTCTCAAAATCGGGATCCATGTCGTGGTGATCCATTGCCATGAAAAGTGTATTAACGACTATACATAAGGTAATAAAGAGCTCCATAAAGGGATCAAAGACAATGAGAGCAAACAACTCTTGGATGCGAACCCAGCACCAACAGCAATCCCAAACACACAAAACATCAATAGCCTTAAGACAAGAAGTTGTAAATTGTTGCTTACAACTGGGCTTCTCTTCTTCGCAATCTTCCTTGTCTGTAGGAAAATAATAAATAGAAACTGTATCATGCTTAAGTAATGCCGTTAGATTATGACAACCATGAAACCGGGAATGGTAAAAGTAAATTGAAAGTGAAACCAAACTGAAAACAATTGAATCAAGAGTAGTATTGACTAAACGTGAAAAATGTTTTTACACAAAACCTAAAAATGTATTTTGTATAAATTTATATCCATTATTAGCCTTTTATTTTGGGTGAATCTGGTCAACACTTTAGCTCATTTGGTTGACCAAATTGTTTGTGTGTTTAAGTGTTTGTTTTGCTTGAGAATCAATGAGATTTTACTGGTTCAAATTATCTTGTTGATTGATGATAGAGACCAACGAAATCCCAAGAAAATTGCCTTTGCGTGTAATAATGATAATGAACATCATCATTATTAAATTGTCATGTTTGATATAAATTTATATTCATCGTTTTCTATCTTTCATTTTCTTCTTCTTTGTATCTTCTTTGTAATACATTTTCATGTATTTCTCTTCTTCTTCTTCTTCTTCTCTTCATCATCCTTCTGCATTGTATTTCAACATTTATATTCATCTATTGTTTAAATGTTTCAATGATTACATAATTGCAACCTTATCTAGCCATTACAGTGTTCAACTTATCATCTAATGATAATCGGTTCATTTTTATTCATAAACTTGAAATACTTTTATTCTTGACTTTTCAATGGTTAACTCAACCGAGTCAATTAATTACAGTGAAAAATCAAGGTAATGATAGCGAGCAATCGATCGCAAAATGGAAAAATCCATTTGAAAAGAAAATTGTAAAAAAGTAAATTTTCCAATACAAATTGAGTTCAACTTTTGTTCAATGTTAAAAGCTAACATCACTTGTGGCAGTTTAACTATGTAAAGATGATTTTGGTTTCTTAAAAAGATGTAAAGAGGATGAAGTGAATGTGAAACTGGAATTGTATTCATCAAGGGAAGTAAGTTTTCATTTTTGTTCAATCAGGCTGAGAGAAGAAGTTGGGAAAAAAAGGAATAATAATGATGATGAAAATGATGATGATGATGGTGAGGATGGGGATGAAGAGAAGATGGGAAAAGAAAAACAAAGGAAAAGATGAAAGTGTTGAGTTGCTTTTGTTGGGAGGCAAAAAAAGGAAACTTGGAAATGTTGAGCTTGAGTTTAGAGATGAAGAAATGGGTTATCTGTTTATCAGATGGCTCAGCATAGAGAGAAGATGAAGGAAAGAAGAAGAAGAAAAAATAATAAGATGAGGGAGAAGGAAGGAAGTAACAGGCATATGAAGATGATGATCACTGAGGATGGATGATGCAGTAAAATGGGGCAAAACAAACCTCTTTCACTAGATTTGCTTTGTCGTCCAGCAGCTTGATCGATAATATCATTTAGAACCATTACATCTATCAATGAGAAAAAATCAGATTAGATCAACATTTTTCGCCGCCTTTTCCCAATGTTTACCTTTAATATCAACGGCAGTGTGCCGAGGTGTTTGCTGTGGGTCGATAAAAGGATTTTCAAGTTGTCGTTTCATTAAAGCACTTCCAATATCATCTCCCTGAGCATACATATCCTGAAGCAAAAAGAAAGGAAAAATACAAAAAAATCAATTTTGAACGAAAAGGCAAAATATTGAAATCGAATGTCAAAAGTGTGAAAATTGTCATTTCTGGCAACACATAAAATCGAAAGGAAATGTTGAAATTAAACAAAAACTAAATTAAATTAGTAAATAGTGGTAAATGAAATGCTAATGTTAAATAGCAATTAAGCTTTCAAGCTGGAAAGGTAAGCCTTGGTAAATGTGTAAAGCAAATGTTGGATTTGGACTAATAAGTAATATGAAAATAAGGTTTGAAAATAATTCTGAATACTGGTGAGTGATGATGATTTGATGATAAAATTGTGAACAATTTTACTGTTAAGTTGAAACTGAATGTTGGAATGCTAAAGACTGGAAAAGCTATTTGAGTGAAGGGAGGAAAAAAGGTGACATTTTTCTTTGTCTTTTTTTTGTTTCTTGAAAGATGACAAAAGATGAATGAATGAAAGATGAATAACCTCTTGAAAAAATCCTTGAAGGTTTCTCCTCGAGAGCAATTGCGACTCTTTGGTCCAGGGAATACCTCGACCGTATATATCACCATGGGAAGTATAGGAGATTCGGGAAGAGTGGGACGTATAACTGGAATGTCGAGAGTGTAAATTTGTATAAACGGGTATAACGATGGCACCATTTTCCTCCGACATTGGGGTAACTGCGGCACTATCATCGGCATAGGGCAGGTGTTCTTGGGCGTCTAAGAAGGTTTGAAGTACCAAAGGTTTACGATCACCCACACGACGTGCATTGTTACGAGCCCAGGTCACACTGAATTGGCTTCCTCGACTGCCTCGACGTAAGTTATAAGGTGAGCCTGGAAGACTTAAACTTGCCTGAGCATACAACAAACATATTCACAAGATGATTGATGAAAGTGAATGGACAACATTGAAAGATGGTAAAAGTGAAGAGGAGAAAAAAAGAGTTGATAAAAGAAACCATCAGGTAAATAATAATTCATTTTTTATCATCATTATCATCATAAGCAGCGGATAATAGCAGCAGCGGCAGCAGCAGATCGCAAAACAGCAATTTTAATAAGTATTTTGTTTTCGGCAAAATTGAGAATCAAAGTTGAAAAGGGAAAAGGAAAAGAAGAAGAAAATCATTAAAACTGTCTTTTTTTCATTTAAAAATTAATTACTCGCTAATATTAAAGTTAATTTTTAGAGTTACAATTTAAAACAATTAACATTTGGCAGCATTTGGTTTGCATGCAAAAGGTTTGGGAGTTAAAATTATGGATCAGAAGATTTAAGTTGATCTGAAAGTTAAAGAACTGAACTTTACCAAAAACAAGAAATTTATTCAAGGTGAAAATCGAGTTGATTGATCAGTTTATGATTAAAGAAAAAACTGTTTCAATTGCAACTATTTTACGTAAAATAACAAAAGATTTTCTGAGATTTGCTTTTTCATAGAAAATTGCAAATGAATTAAAAATTCGTTTAAAATTTTTGTCCATTTTTCATGAAGAAAGAGTAAAATTTTGACTCAGAATAAGCTGCAACATAATTCCGATAATCACTGGGAAGCATTTTCCAGCCAACAAAAAATCAAAATTTATATTCGTTTGCTTTTTCAAGTTAACTAAATTTGCTGGGAGGAAAATTGACCTAAAATTTTGATCCATAATTTTTAGCTAAAAATTGAATAAAAATATTGAACCATTATCAGTTTGATTATTATCCTTTGAGACCTTTTCTTGTTTCGATATTGAAATGTTCATTACAAGGAAAGTTGAAAATGTATTACAATGTATTTGACAAGAAAAATGTTTTTAGATTGAATGTTGCCTGTTATCATCTCTTTGTGGGTTAAATCATGGGAATGCATATAATACTTTGGATGAATGATTCAAATGCAGGGTAATTTTTCAGTGGTATATTCATGGATGGATGTGAAAAAAAGGAAAGAAAATGATAACAAAAAAATGAGAAGAAAAATGGCCAAAAAATGGGGAAAACGATTCAAGCGACAAAACATCTTTACTCAACTTTTTCTCTAAACAACTTCTCAACATTGAACACAAATAGATTGGTAAAAAAATGACACAAAATTGAAACTCAATTTAGTTGAAAATGATTTTCCAATGAATATCAAAACTGGAAATATTGGCCAAAAAGAAATGATGAAAATTGAAATGCAAAAAAGTGGAGCAAAGTTGCAATCAAATGAGTTGCACTCTTCAATTAATGTTGAAATTGTTCAACAGAACTGGAAAACAAAATGATAATTTCAACTTTTCCCTTTTCTTTTTTACCCTTTTGTTTATATTCAAATAGCATGAATAAAACATTGAGGCTAGCATTTGGTGAAAGAAGAGAGAGAGAGAAAAAATGAAAAAGAAAATATTAAATAATCGATTTCAATGATTACTATTCATTTTGGACTCAAATTGTAATGTGAGATTGAAGATGAAAGTACAGAGTCTACATTAGTAAATTATCGTGAATGGAATGTAAATGTTCACTCAATTTCCACTGGAGGACAATTCAATTCATCAGACGACCCGTGACCCAGTTATTAACTTTATATTCAAATCAGATTCATTGGTCACTCTTCAGCCTCTTTTCAGTCTCCCTTTTCGTCTTTTACATTTCATTGAAATATTGTAATGGACAGATGACTTTGGTATCTTATAACATTAATTGTTTCATCTTTTTTTGCCAACTTCTCTCTTTCTCTTCTTTTACCGCATTATCAGCAATATTGTTGCCATAATTATCATCATCAATTTGCTCTTGGACAAATAACTGACACAATCAATATGATTGACCTTCAAATGAATATTAATATTTGTTAACCTGATTTTTAGTGTAAAGTCTTTGTAACACTTTCCAATCAAACCTTTCAACATTCATTTCAATGTAACCTTTTTATCCGAAAACTTGCATTTCCCTATTTTCCAACCTTTTCCCGAATCCTAAACATTCACTCATTTTTTCATGACTTTATATCCACCAAGAATTAGATATCGATTCAGTGAAAAAAACAAATCGAGAGAAAATCAAAATATCGTGCAATTTCATGCGATTTTTCAATAGCAAAAGAGTTTGATTTTCGTTCACTTTAGTGATTTTTGGTGGAACCTGAAAGTTCAGTTTTTGTCAGAAAATTTTCCAATTTCCAACTTTTCAATTCTGATTTTATTTCTAATTTGAATGCTAAATAATTTCATTTTTATGAGTTTTCGCTGATAGTTAAAAATCAATTTCCATTCAGAAAGAAATATAATTCTATGAGATTTTTCTATTGGAAAAGGTCGCAACTTGAGTTGGATTTTTACTCGTTTTCGTGATTCTTTTTGATCAACTGGAGAAACATGTTTTCAAAATAGTTCAGAATTGTCGTTGACATAGAACTGGAAAAACTGCATTTCGCTTAACCTAATATTTACCTTTCAGGCGGCGAAGGAAATTGAGGGATAAAGTGTTGAATTTTTGTTAGTTTGTTTAAACAGAGTTGAGTGTAACCTGTGAATGAATAATGATGATTGTGATTAGAAAAGCATGAATTGCTCAACTCTTTCTGTACACAATGAGTTAATAATTGCCTTTGCAGGATAAAATTATAATTGAATTGATATAATAACTTGGTAAGTTAAGTCTACTCATGTAATAATACACAAGTTATAATAATCATTGGGATATACAAGGGAATAAAAGCAAAACCTAAAAAAACAGATTGATGGTTTAGCCTTTTTTTGTTGTGTATGTGTTCAACTTTTATATAAATGAAAGGGAGAGAAAAAAAAGTTCACTTGAAATGGCAATAAAAAAAGGATGATAATGATAATGATGAACATTATCAGGACTGAAAGAGAAAAGTTGAAGAGAAGAAAAAAAAAGTGAAAGTTGATAAAAAAATGAATGGAAATAAACTTGATATTGCATTGAATTGGGTTGGAGAGGGAAAAGTTGAAGATGAAGATAACACGGTTAACAATGGGAAGGTTAACCATTTGACAACAATAATTTTATTAATAACTTGCTTTCAACAAGATAAACACAAACAGAAAATTCATCTTTTCTGATTATTTCAACAGTTACAGTTGATATCAACAGGAGTTGGTCAAGGTTTCAATTTTGATTGGCAATTTGATTTCAATTTAAATTGAAAGGTTGAATAATTATAATCAAATTGGTTGAGATTAATGTTGAAGAAAAAAATTGAAATGAAAGATTGGGAGGCAAAAATGAATCCATTATTGTAATAATAATGATAATGATGCATTAAAAAGTGATAGTGATTGGTAAAGGAAATCAAATTGAGAAAGAAAATCGATTTTGATTTAAAATGCTAATGATTATGGATTGTAATGGTTAAATTGCAAGATTATTTGGATGACGATTAAGATTATTAATCAATAAATGGTGGAAGCAAGTCATCATGCAATAATTTGAACCAATATTAACATTAACTTTGATTGGAATGGACAGTTTTTTTTCCATTATTTGCTCATCACAGATTGATTTGAAAATTGAATTGTAATTGGATGGTTAAATGAAGTGATTTAGATTTGTGTTGCGGACTTGGATTGTTTTGAAAGGTTAAAGATTGTAAAGATTGTTTTACCTAAAAATTTGACAAAACTTGATTTTTTTGGGTTCATTATTAATCATTTGAAACCATTGATTTCCTTAGGTACTAATGTAGTTGCTAGAATTGTAAAGATTATCAAGAAAATTAAACTTAGGCCTAAAAGCAACCATTAAAATTGTTCCGATGGGATTACAATCAACACCTCAATCGGAGTAACTTTTTAGGCTGCCGTAAAGCATAAAAGTAAATTGACAAGCAGTTAAGCGTTTTCATGTAAATCGCCTTTTGGCAATCAATTCAAGTGCCATCAAAGAAGCATTGAGCCGCTAATTGCCATCTATAACAGCTGATAAAGAGAAAAAAATAAGCTATTATTAATAAATTAAACTCTTCAACGTTTCCATTTTATCAAAATTGTTGGCAAATGGTTTGAAAGTTGAACATTTTTTGCTTCTTATTTTATGATGAAAAAATGGGTAAAATGGTTATCAGGATTGACAAGAGTCTAGAAGAGATTGAAAGATGGAAACGTTGAGAGTTTTTAGGTTCTAAGTTGATTATAATCTAGAATAGAAGTTATAATTAAAATTAATTTGGATAGAAGTAATTAGACTTAGAAAAAGTGAAAGTGAAACATACCTTACGAACCTTTCCGTTGATTCGTCCACCACGAAAATCGTAATTGGGATTACTTTCTTCGGTACTCTTAATGGAAACTCTGTCCCTTTCATCACCCACTTTATCATCATAATCAGAGTAAACTGAAGGGCTTGGCGGTGCATCCGATTCTCGGCGAGCCAAAGGGTCCAAGTGAAGAGGCAATATTGAGCTTCCCATTGGGTGAAATGTATGTTGAGGTGATGGGTGAGATAAAAGGTTACCATTGGTTGGCATGTCATTCATTCCCATTAAACCTGCAACACTGTCAACCAGTGCAGGACCCGAACCTGCAGGAGGACCAACTGAACGGCCATCATCCACCTCGGCTTGACGAAGGGTATCCTGATAGGCTGCTTCTTCCGCAGCGGCCGCCAAATCTTCATCGACCAGTTTCTTCTGCAGTTCATCATATGACATGGCAACTATGGCCAAAATAAGGTTAACTAAGTAGATTGAGCCTAAAAATATTGCTCCAATAAAGTAAATTATATGCCAAGGACTTGTTGTTCGTAGGATCATTTGATATAACGATTCCCAATAATCTTGAGTTAAAAGACGAAAGGCATTAAGCAGAGCCCATGGGAAGGTATCATAATTAGTGTACCCGTAATTGGGATTGGGTCCAAATCCTTGGATACAAGTACTTAATGAACTATTGCACAAACTGAAACAAAAACAAAGGATATTAGTAAAGTATATTTTTTCAACCTGTTTAAACATTTTCACCATTATATGAATGACAACAACTTGAGAATTGTCACAACAATTTTCATTCATTGAGAATTTTGATGAGAATAGATTTGATCAGAAATTGAAATTGAAATGCCTTAGGAATAAAGACAAAAAGAAGGCCTGAAACAATGTTGTCTCATTGATCAAATACAAATCTACTTCAAAATTCCCAAATCATAATTTTGCTTAAATAAATACATTATTAAAGTGTGTATTGAACATGAGAAATGAAGAGATTTTTAGCTAGATTTAAGAGTTGCTATTCTAACATTTATCAATTTTATGCTTTTAGCTGAACAAAAAGCGATAATGATGTTGCCCTGAGCTTGTAAAAAGATCAAATCGAAACAATGTAAACACTTTTACTAATAAATAAACCATTAAATGTTTTGTTGGCTTATTAATTGTTTACTGTTTGCACTCAAGCAATCTTGATTATCTAATAAATGTATACTTTACAGTCTATTTAGAAGAGGAGAAAAAATATGATGTTGAGCTGATTGTTGTCATTAATATTGTCCCATTATTGGTTTAGTAAATAACGATAAATGTTGATAAACTTACGTAGCACCAGAAGTGTTGCTACAAAGAATCGGATCACCCGATGAAGTGTTTAACCAATGGGATCTATCATTACACCAATCAAACCATTCCTCTGTGGTCATATTACTTGGTCCATGGAGGATACATTTTTGGGTTAAAGCTCCCATGTAAATTTGAAGTCCCAATAAGGCGAATACAGAAAGTGAAAAACATGTCAGGATAGTTACATCTTTCAAGTTTTTAGCAGCTTCAATTAATGCACCAACAATTGTTTTTAAACCTAAAAAAAGAGTCAAGTGGAGTTAGTAAATTGTGAACAAGTGTAAATTTAATTTCAAGTATTTACCTGGAACAACAGCAACTGTTTTTAAAGCTCGTAAAACCCTGAAAGTACGAAGAGCGCTTAAGTTTCCTAAATCTTCAAATAGCATGGTTAAATAGGCTAGGGCAATAACAACAAAATCCAGCCAATTCCATGGGTCCCGGAGATATGTGAAATTTGTAAGTATTAAACCTCGGGCAGTCACTTTTAAACATGATTCAAATGTGTAAATTGTAGTAAAAATGATTCTGAGGGAAAAGAGCAAAATACAAGCAAATTAGTAAACAAAATCTCTCTTCAATTCAAATTCAATCTACTTACTCTGTTCGCTCAATTTCACTTGACTGCATGGTCATTAGAATACAATTAACAAGAATAGTAACGATAACAAGAAAGCTAAACCAAGGATGGACAAGCATAAAAATGGCAACTCGACGAATCGGGTTGAACGGGCTTAAGATGAACAAGGCTTTGGTTGCGCTAAAACGGAAGATATCTTTTCCCTTGCTTACAACAACAAAGGTCTAAAGAGAAAGAAAATGGATGAAACAAAAAGCAGAGATTGATGATTAGTTGATTGTCAATTGCAAGAAACGTAAAAATGTTTAAAATAGCAACAGTAATTGATTAATGTGTTTGTACATTTGTTTAGCAATCGAAACAAAAGTTGGACAAAATTAAGAAAGTGATTGAGTCATTTACAGCATTTACGTTGGTCAAATATTGATTACTTTTGGCAAACAAACTCTTTTTTTTGGTGTTTACTTGTGATTGTCTTGTTTCTAGTAAATTGTAAGCTGAATAATGACATTGACCAAGGCAACTATTATACAATTTTGAAATTGAATCGTGAATTAATCTGACAATGAATGGTAATAATGTTGTAGTTATGGATGAAAAAAAACAAAACCAACCTTGCAAATAAATTTGAATCATCATCTATGTCAATATAAATAAATAAATAAATATTTTATACAGATAAATATAAAGGCATTATATTTATAAATAATACATAAAAGGAGTAAATCATCAACTGATCACATCATAAATAGCAATAATTCATGGAATCATTATTCTGATGTTCATCTTATAACACATAACATGATATCTATGAGAAAGCAAGTGTTTCAAGAAACATTCAACTTTCAATCAGTAACAATGTAATCAAAGACATACAAAGTGAAGGTTAACAATTGACCAAAAAATGAAACAAAGAAACTCCCTGAACATCACTTGGAAACTGTAGATAACAATTTACAAACAAAAATCTAATAAATCAATGTTCTATTGGAAATTTACTTCACCATTTCAACTGATTAGTTTGAATGGGAAAAGGACTCGAAACATTGTTTCTCATTATTGGATAACTTAACAGACTTAATTTGTAATCCTAATATCAAAACAAATGTTATACATAATCTTTTGAGTATAAACAGTAAATCCTTTTGTAATCCTTATAAACAACTTTAAGCTTGGAGTTGATCATCAATCTTGGTAAAGATAGTTCTGTAAATATCTTCATCTAATTCATCTTATTTTCTTGTCTTTTCATTAATTTCTTTGTCCAAGTTCTGTGTGTGTTCAAGTTGATTATTAACAGTCCCTTTCAATTTGCTTTAAAAGTCCAACATTAAGTTTCAATGAGAAGATAATAAAAGTTATCTTCTTCCACTTTTCTTGTCCAATCTTTTTTTTTCTCCTTCTCATCATTGTCAGTCTCTCATCAGAGATCAATTACGTTTGTTATGGGATTGTTAATGCTCTTGTTGATACTGGCTTTTATTGCTTTCAATCAAGCTTGACCATTTATGGGTCAACAGAGAGAACAGAAGTTGAAAGCCGAGTTTAGGTAATTTCAATCAACATTTTTGTTTCTCCTTCCCTTCAACCAGGGAATGAAATTTAATAAGAAACTTGAGCCCAGAGTTTATCAAGATTACATCCAAAGCAGAAACTATTCAATAGACTGTAATTTTTGCCTTTTCTGGGTGAAAACCTTGATAATCTGTTTGACCCTTTTTACCCTCAACACAATAAGGATAAAAATTCAAGATTATCAATGAATCTAAAGAGTGAAAATAATTTGGATCAACATTGAAGTCACTGATTTGAAGAGGAAACATTTAAGATCAACATTTAACATGAAATAAGACAACATATTAACTCTTGATTAATTAGAGTAAATCATTTTTGATTGTTTGTTGATTAACTGGTGCGGTATCAACACATTGAATTTGAGTAAATATTGAATGAAGAGAATGTAAAATGTATTAAAGTTGAAAGATAAAAGAAAAGCTGGCGTACTATTTACGGATAATGAACAATGAAGCTAACATGGGATGTTGAAGAAGATGGTGATGATTGTTCAGATGGAGAAGTATCTCTCAATTGAATTCAGTTACTGAACAACTGACAAGTTACTGAAAGACAAAAAGCAAGTTATATGTTTTGATGAGGAAAAACAGATAAAAGGAAAGATTCCAGTTTACGGAATCGATATTATCATCATCTTATAAGATGATTGTGCGTGAGTTGGAAGATAAAGTATAAAAAAAGATGAGAGAGAGTTGATGAAGATTCGTTTGAGCAAGAATGACAAACAAGAGTCTGACTAGTTGAGGAAAAATAGATTGAAGAAGAGAGAGAAAGAATTGAAAATGATAAAGATGAATGAAGATGAACGTTTCAACAAATGATTTGTACAAATGATTATCAGATAAAAATGCCAATGGCCTTTGTTTTGGCTTGAGAAATGATAATTCAAAGGATATAAATAATGTTAATCTACACAATATATAAAGTCAATGTATCAAATTTTTGTGTCAAGATTGTGGCCAAACTGAGCGGGTTCTAAGAAAAAAAATTACACAGCATGAAAGCCCAAATATAACTACATCCACGAAAAATAGGAAACCTCACCTCAGAATTCAGATCTCTAAGAAATTCATGAAAATAGAGGTTGGGGGAAAAATTGTAGAATCCGTATTCCATAACATTGAAAAGGGGGGAAAAACTTTTTTGTTTTTCAAGTTGATAGTTCATTGTTGGACCAGGATTTATTTAAAAATTTGTCATTTGAGTAAAGAGTTAAGAGAGGCTTTTTTCACCATATTGTCTACCTCTCCATCCAACACATCCACCAAATCAACCATCAAAACATCACTTTTTAAAAGACTTTTCTTAACAAAATTGTCCACCACCATCTTGACCACTTTTACACCATCTAGCATGTCCACTATTAATCGCATCATACCTCAAAAAGTGCTCAAAAATTTGGTGGATTTGGGGGGGATAATCTTATAAGAAAAAGTGTTTGAAAATGTGGTGGAATAAAGACACTCTAAAGTTGTTAATGAAAGTGGTGGACAAAAAGTGATGTTCGTTTTAGTTGTTTTGACGTATGTGTTAGATTGGGTGGTGGACATTACCGTGAAAAGACGGTTAGCATGGGTGGTTAAAAGAAACTTGCGATCAGCCATGATCGCATTAGTTTCTTGTAATAATCTAAATTAATACAAAAGCGAAACAGAGATTGAATTTTATTAAAAGTAAATTGACATTTGTGATGATCCAACAATCAAAATAATTGGATAATTGTTTAGTTTGTCAATTACCGTCTTCATCAAGATAATCAGTAAATTGTCTAGTCTAGTGATTTTAATGACATTACTGGTCAAGAAGAGTGGATTGGGTCAAGAATATCTCTCTTTTTCCTGGTTAACTTTTCAGGCAAATCAAACTAATTGTTGCAAGATAATGAATCAAAATGTTTCATCCAAATAATTGACAATTTTTTCGTCTCTTCTTTAAACTAATCTGAATAGTTTGTTGAAAAAAAAGTGGAATAAGTTTGAAACAATTAATTCTGAAGAGAGGAAAAAGTTTGGTAATGATGAAGGTGAAAATTGGAATCGATTGTAACATTAAAATGGAAAAGCTGACGATAATTATCATAATGATAGTGGCGGCGAAATCTGGTCTTTTTATACATTTAATCATATTCATGAAAAACCTTGTGAATGTTGATTAAGCAGAAAAAAAATATGAATGGGAAAAGTGTAATATATTGCAAGTTTGCAGTTGAACATGAAGAGCAAAGAGACTCTGATTTTGCATGGATCTATTAGGAATTGATAATAGAGAATTGGTTGAAAAGGAAATACAAAACTCAGTTGAAATACAGGGGAAAGGAAGAGAGAGAGAGAATGGTTTCTTAGAGAAAGTTTTTTTTTCTTGATTGATATCAACATTTGATTACTATCAATTCTTGAGCTCAATAAGTAAAAGGAACACAATATTGGATCGATAACGATCTAATCGATTTAACTGCACAATGGACTGTGAAAAGATCGATAGAGAGCAGAGAGAGAGAAGAAGAGTAAGATCGATCCGAGAAAGAGGAGAAGCATGAGAAAGGTCAGAATAGAGGAAAAGTAAGAAGAGAAAGAGTCGACTTTTGTCTTTGCTTCTTTTTTTTGCCTTCTTTCGGTCAACAGGGAGTGAGAAAAATGAAAGAGAAATAAAAGAGAGAAGAAAAAAATTGAGACCATTTTATAGGTTATATTCAAGTGTATTGTCCATTGTGACTATGGACACCAAAAATGCATCATGGATTCTGATCAGAATTGAACGATATCAGATGAGAATAGAGAGGAAAATTGAAGGGGAAAAGAGGCGACTCTTTTGTTGACGATTGTCAAGAAGAGGATGATGAACGAAACATTTCATTGAATGTAATGGGCTAGGTTAGGTTGGGTCAGGTTAGGTTAAAGTTGAATTACAATATCTTTAAATAGCTCCATTAATCTGAACAATTCAACAATTACGCGATTTGATTTATAGTTGAATCCATTTCGCATCATAACTAAAGTTATCAATGGAAACCAAACAAACCTTTTTTGCCTTCTTCTCTCCCTTTTTCAATGGATTCATGATAAAAGTCTTGAAATTTTTCTTAACATTTCCCTTCGTTTCTTTCTTGATAACTTTCTTTCTTGATAACTTTCTTTCTTTATACAGTTCTCTGTGTAAAGAAGGGAAAAAAGTTATATCATGAAAAATATGAAGAAAAAAACTTAGCATTTTCACTTGTTGCCTGGTAACCAGTGATATTAGCAGGCAAAAATGAAAATAAAAAACAGTTAAAGTGGTTAACATTTATTGGGAACAACATTTCATACAAGTGAACACCCAACTCCACCTCAACAAGGACATTGATTACAATGTGACCAGGGAAGTGAAATTTAGGGAATCATTCATGATAATGAAGAGAGAGAGAGACACAAATAATGTTGCTTGTTTTGCTTTTACCTTCATTGGGAATTAACAATTGAATTGTTTTGTTTTGCCTTTCAACTGATAATCACTATTGTGTTGGTGGTTAGTTGAACCTTAATTGAAATGGATTTACAAATGAAACTGGCAAAAAAATGATTATCAATTGTTCATGATTGAACAAAAAAGCAAATTTCACCATCAATATTGTATTACTTGCTGTGGTAACAATGTCAATAATAATCTTGCCCAACAATGGGATTCATGGTTATTGTTAATTTGGTAATAAAGAGGTGTTAATGTAAATATTGAACAAGAATAACCAGAATTTTGACCATTTAATGGTTAGGTTTTGTTTGTAAATTTGAAAATTTGTTGGGAAAAGATTAGCATTTATAAAAGTCTATTTACATGTAAACTCTCAATTGTATCTATTATTTTATGCTGAAAGATAATATAATGATAAAAGTGGTTATTCTGGTTCTCGTTTTCATGGTAAATGTATCATTACAACTGTTACTCGGAAAACCTTTTTTTAGGGTTGCTTAATTCACTCAATTGTGCTTATTACAATCATTTAAGATGATGGTTTGTAACTGACTAACAAGGAATGTGATTTTTTATGTTGTTGTTGCTGGGAAGTATTCATGTTAGGTGTAACTTTCAATAAGCCAATAATGTAAAGCTTAAACTTGACAGTGAATGTTCATGGAAAGGATGAAATGTTGTGTTGAAAGAAAGATTAGAATGTTGAGTTAATGTTAGACAGTAATGATGATAGGAAAGGGATAAAGAGAAGGAAGAAAATAATGTAACAATTAAAACATTTTCCAGGATAACGATGAAGATAACCTCAAAAGATAAACTATTTCAATCTTGCTTTTTAAGGAAGACAGATGACAATGATAATGATGAGAAATGATAACACAGAGAGATGACAAAGTTCTGTAAGTTGAGAAAGATAAAGAGAGTGAAAATAAGGAGGATTTTGTGGTAAGTGAACTGATTTTTCAGCTATAATAGAACGGAAACAACATTTCCGAGCTCATTTTATCTAAAGATTATGATGGAAGAAGAAGAAGAAAAAAATGAGATGATGAAGATTAAAAGAGAAGGGAATAAAGAATTAAGAGAAAAATATAATAACGGAAGAATCTTGAGGAAAGAGTTAAAAGTAAGAGGAATAATGAGTAACTGTTGAGTGAACAATAAGATGATGAAGAAGGTTGTCCAAGTTGATTATGTATGATGGAAACAATTGTGATAAAAATCATTGAAATACTTGACATTGGCAAACAACAATTTTACAGGTATTTTCACAACTTATAAGCACTTGATGTAAACTGTTTGATCCTCTTTAGTCTCCAAACAACCGATTATTGAGATAAATGGATATATTCCTTTTGGTAAGCTGTAAACTCGATGAAATTAACAATAACTCACCGGAATTCCAGCCTTCTCATAATATTTGTCCAAATCTTCTATGGGAGTTCCTATTAGGTCAGGAGGGAAACCACGTTCTAAGTACTTCGGAAGTATTCTACCCGCTTCCAAAGATTCATCTGGATGCAGTTCTTCTTCCTCACGGTGTGGTACATAAAGTTCGTCCACTCCGGTGATTTTCTGGTTGTAATGTAAATGGAACGAAGTGAACCAAGAGACGAAAAGGGAGAAAATAAAGAAAAGAAAAATAAAGAATTAGAACAATTTTAGCTTCAAGATAAAACAATAGAAACATTCTGGTTGATTTTTGGGTTAAAAATATACTGAAAATTACCAAGAAATGAAAATTGGTAAAAAGTAAAGGAAAAATACGCTAAAGATTGACCAATTTTCCTGGACAATAAAAAAACAAATACTTACCTCTTCTTTTTCGTTTTGTTTCTTTTCTGCCATCCTGGCTTCAATGGCCGCCAAGGATTCCCTGGTAAAAGGCCGAAACAACTGTTTTTGTGGTACATCGGCATAGCCCAGGTCTCCTGATGACATGTCGATCTTCACCAACCAAAATGAAATAAACACAAATTCATCTAAAAGGGAGAGAAATTGAGAGAGAAAGGGAAATAGAAGGAGAGAAGGGACAAGAAAAATAAGAAAGAGAAGATGAGAGAGGAAAAAAAGAGCAAGTGAGTATTCCCGGTTTTACTAGCGTTTGCCCACAATCATTCTGAATTTCCCATGAAAATGAAACTGAATGAAATAACGTTATGTAATAGCTGCAATCAATTTCGATCTAAACTCCATCTACAATATAAGAAAAGAACTAATATATGTGGTTCTATCTGGTGTTATATAATCAAACTATTTATACCTCTAATTGATTTTACCGTTTACTGTTTTTATTGATTCTAATCTTTTATTTTTGGTTATTGATTTGCTGAGAGTTTATTTCATCTTTATTCATCTTTAGCTTTTCAAGTATTCAATCTTTCAGAGTCTCGCCATTTCAATATTTTCGATGATAAAATGGCATCATCTTGAAACTGGTGATGGCTAGATGGCTGAGTCAATTGTGTGTTGCTTAATTTGTTTTTTTTCACTCAACTCTTTATGCTGACCTAACAAATGTTGATATTAGTCAATTGGGTTAGAGTCAACATTTGTCTCAATAAAAGAGGGATAATAAAATGCTTACTGAGAAAGTATTGATTGCCGATAATTGCCTGATTACTTTATTAATTGCCCGTAGCGGGTTGCTTGTATTTTCTCAACCTTTTATTTCCAATCTTTATGTTCTCAGTGTTTAGACATTTTTTAGTCGTAATAAATGTGAAATGTCTCATTATTTGAATAGTTTACCTCAACCCTTTTCAAGTGTTTTGTATTTCAAATGAAGCATTAATGGTTAGACAATGGTGATTGAAAAAAATGTAGGAAGAAATTTGAAAAATTGTTTAATAATTTAAAGATTCACTGGCTATGGGACAAGGACGCTCGTTTAGTGAATTAGTAAACAATGAAAATCATTTTCCACTTAAATTTACGCACTCATTAAACAATTTATTTATTCCTTTGGCTGTTGAAGGGAAAATCTTTAACTATTAATAACGGTAATGAGTAAATCGATCAACAAATATAGTGAACAAAAATATATTATTTTGAGCTTAATGTTTCTTTTTCTAACAATCGACAATATAATAAAATCATCAAGTCTTGGCTGAAAAGGTTGAACTATTAGACAATTCAGTTTCTAGAGACTTGATTCAACCATCATTTACATCAAGTGAATTCAAAAAACTTAAACTTTAGGTAAAAAAGTGCGTTTTGAGCCATTTTCATTTCCATTGTCAATCTTTTTTTTTCTGTCTCTTGAATTTTTTCAATGGTATCAAAAAGATGGAACAAAGAAAACATGTTCCATTCAATTTGGAGAGCAGGAAAAGCTCTTTTTTTGCCTGGTAAAATATCTTTAACGGGTAGTTTTGAAGTAGAGAGAAACAAAAAAATCATTAAATTGATTCAATCGATTGAAGTTCAACTGAATTAATAATGATGGTTTGGTCACAGCTTATTGAGCCCATTGCTATGCAAAAGATTATTTACAATAGCGAATGTAATGGTTGTTGTTGATTTTGTAATTGTTGTAGTTGTTGGTGATGATGATGATGATGATGATGGTGATGATGGAAGAAAGATAAACACATAATGAACGGATTGTTTAATAAACGACGATAAATATTATAATTAACTATCCAAAACGATTAGAACCATATGATTGAAGGGGAAAACAGCAAATGTTGAGGAAATAATGCAACCAGATTTGGGTTAAAGGAGATGTACTTTAAGGTTGACGCGATCATTAAAGAGTAAAAACAAAAAGGGAAATCATAATTTAATGGAATCAATGAAATGGTTAAAATTATAAGCCAATTATTACGACCGTTGTGATAAAAAAATGTCAATTAATTAGCGATAGTTTTATTGAAAAAAAATAAAAGATCAAAAGTAAATTAACCTTTCCAGTTTTTTGTTGGTTCAAAAAAGGCGGTTCTCTCTCGCGTAATAGGTTCAACCCCCCATTTCTCCCCCTAAAACTGGTGATATCGATGGATGTTGTTAAAGCAACGTCTTTTCTGTCTTTCATAAGATTCACTTTTCCAATGTGATATCTGTTTAATTAACTAACATCTGATTAACATTATTTCTATTTCATCCCAGCATTGTATTAAACTTTACCTATTTAAGTGTCTGTTTTATTCTGAATGCATTTAGATTCCCTGTCTTCTTCAATACAGTGTAATCATCTTGGTAATTTGTTGACAATTAATAGGTAAATACATGTTGTTTCATTTTTCTATCCTTTTTTTGTTAATCCTGTGATTTTGTTTTATTATTTGATATTTTTTAGCTGATAATTCAACCAATTTGTTGTTTATTATTTTTGTGTGTTCGCTCATCTTGTGATTAGTTTTTACTCTGATTTGCTTGTTATTAGATTTCTTTTTTCGCTAGTTATTAATATCACCTTGTATCTCTATTAAACGCAATATAAACAAGCTTCAACAATAACTTGTTCAATAGTGTTTTTCATCTGAAGGTTGAATTCTTGTTTATTGTTCGCTTTGCTTTGTTTGTTTATTTTGCTTTTTGTTGATGGCTTCTTTTTTTTTGATACCATTACTTTAGCGTCTTCAAATTTTCTCCATTTCATTCTTGACTCTTGTCAACTCAATAAATTTGAGCAACTCTTGTGCGTGTAACGACCTCCCATATTTTTGATCAAGATTTTTGATTTTAATGTCTCCTAATTTTTGCTCTTTCATCGTTCTGTTTCAAACTTTTCACAGGTCAAAGAAATCACATTTCTAATTGAAACTCAATTGAACTTTTATCCATCAAAATCACTTGGCCCGTCAATCAACCGTATCTCTACTCAATTCACTTCTATCACCTTATGCACTTTTGTTTCTTAAATATTCTGCCTTGTTATTGTTCTTGTTATCATTCAAATTTATAATGTCTACTGGAAACATGACTGATTCTATTGGAGTCTCGATTGCCTTAGGCATGATCAAGACTGTGGTCTGTGCCTACGATTTAATGACTTTACCCATCTACACAATTGTACAACAACCTTGGCAAAGAAGCCGAGCCAGGAATAAAATCAGAGCTAAACCAGTTAAGGAAGATAATTGCTACTCAGGTAATGACTCTTTAAAACTTATTTATGCATTCTTACGCATTCCTATGAATAGTGAATATTTAAATGAAATGACGTTTGCTTATAAAGTCTAGAAAAAATGATTTTATTGGACTTTGAATTTAAATATAACGATGCATTTTTTCGTTTTTTATTTTTTATTGATCAGAATGGCGTCGGGTTGAATCACCTCCCGATCATTTGATGCTTCATGCAGAAACTATTGACTCCTTATTTATGCAGACCAGTAAACTATATGCTGATAAAAAGTGTCTCGGTTTTCGTGAAGTTTTCGGTGAAGAAGATGAAAAACAGCCAAATGGTAGAGTTTTTCGTAAACTGATTCAAGGAGATTTCAAATGGTTCACCTACAGTGAAGTAAATCAAAGAATTACTAATGTTGCTCGAGGTCTGTATCTAAGTGGCCTTAAACCTGGCGAACCGGTGATGATTTTTTCAGAGACTAGATTAGAATGGTTCCTAAGTGCAATGGCTGCTTTTCGTCTTGGAGCAAGCATTGCAACCCTTTATGCTACGCTTGGTTTGGAAGCTTTGATTCATGGAATAAATGAAACTGAAGTGACACATTTAATAACAACTTATGATTTGTTGCCAAAGATAAAGTCAATCATCAATAAGTTACCTCACCTTAAATGTATTATTTACATTGAAGGTCCTAAAAGACCTGACCTAACTGACTTTGGATCCATTGAGCTAATTTCTTTCACCCAAATTGAACTTAATGGTTCTTCATCAAAACAATCTATTCAATTTGAGCCAAGGAAAGGTGATGATCAAGCAGTCATCATGTACACCTCCGGTTCTACTGGAATTCCTAAAGGAGTAATTATCACTCATAAAAATATTCTTGGGACCATGAAAGGTTTCTATGCTGTTGCATACAACATGACCACCGATAATATTTACATGGCCTATCTTCCATTGGCTCATGTTCTCGAATTAGCTGCTGAAAGTTTCTTCATCTCAATGGGTATTCCACTTGGTTATTCATCTCCTCATACCATGACTGATAAATCAACAGCGGTTAAGAAAGGTTGTAGAGGTGATGCTCCTGTTCTTAAGCCAACCATTATGGCAGCTGTTCCATTAGTTCTGGACCGTATAAAGAAAGCAGTGACTGAAAATATCGATGCTCAAGGACCTTTCATGAAAAGCTTTTTTAGGTTTGCTTTGGAATACAAACAATACTGGATTAAAAATGGTTTCCAAACTCCTTTACTTAATAAAATTATCTGTGGTAAGATAAAAGCCATGTTGGGTGGAAAAATAGAATACATGGTTTGTGGAAGTGCCCCCTTAGCTCCAGATACTCATGATTTTATTCGAAATACTTTAAACGTTACTCTCATTTCGGGTTATGGTCTAACTGAAACTGCAGCAGGAGCCACAATCATGGACTTTGATGATTACAGTGTTGGACGAGCTGGACCTCCTCTTTACGGACTCTCAGTTAAATTATCAGATTGGGATGAAGGTAACTTTCATACTTTGTACTGTGTAACCTCGAAACCCAAATTGTTTACAACTCTCATGACTATTTACTTTTCTATTTTTTACTGCTCGATTATAATTATAATTATCTTTATAATAATGTAAATAGGTAATTATCATCCTCGAGATAAACCAAATCCACGAGGTGAAGTCATCATTGGTGGAGATTGTGTTACTGCTGGTTATTACAAGAATCCAGCAATGACAGATGAATTTTACAAATTAGAAGATGGTAAAAGGTGGTTTTACACCGGAGATATCGGAGAAATTTATCCTGATGGAACAATAAAGTTAATCGACCGTAAAAAAGATTTGGTTAAATTACAATATGGAGAGTACATTTCACTTGGAAAGGTGAGTGATTTCTGGGTTCCTCTTATTTCTTAAAATTATTTTATCTGTTTAAAGCCAGTCAAGAAATTTTATCTTAGCTAGAATCAAATATCTTGTTTTTTGAACAAAGTTAAACAAACCCTGCCAGCAACTTTTTCCGGGTCAAACTGCATATTTGCACTGTTGGAACTCTGTAAGAAATTATCATTCAGTCGAACAAACAACTGACTCCAATTGCAAAAGTATCTGTTTTTCATTCAAATCACATTACCTTATAATTGCATAGAAAAATATTACATTTTATCTCTTTCATCATTTGAATTCAATCCATTGTTTAAAATGTGTCAATACAATTTATTTACACAGACTTTTTTTGTTTCTTTTTTATTCTAGGTTGAAACTGAATTAAAAATCTGTCCGATTGTTGACAACATTTGTGTTTATGGTAATTCTTATCATGACTATTTGATTGCCATCATTGTACCAAATGAAAAAGCTCTTCGAGGCTTAGCCAAACAACATGCCCGAGAACATTTATCACTTTCACAACTCTGTAAAGATCCTGTTATTCTGGATGCCGTTAAAAAGATTTTAGTCGATCGAGCAACTCAGGTTAAACTGAATCGAACCGAGCAACCAGCCAAGATATTACTTGTCGATGACGATTGGACGCCAGATAGTGGATTAGTGACTGCAGCCATGAAAATTAGACGTAAAAATATTCAAGAGCGTTATATTGATGAAATCAATCGGCTCTACAACATATTAGGCTCTAGTGTTCAATCAGCTTGATCCTTTAATTATAAATTATCTTCTAGTTCCAAATCTTTTCTTCTCCCTCCTCTCTTATAATTACAATGTTATAGATTTGAGATGCTTTATTTTAGCATCACTACTCTATTTATTCATGTAACTATATATTTCTCTATTACTATTTCTCATCATCCTATTACAATCATCTTCATATTCATCTGCAAAGTTCATTGTAACTACACACTCAAAGGATAATATCTTTACCCACTCTTCGCAATTCCTCTTGGTGCTAATCAAATAACATCCAGAAAACTGCATTTTTTGTTTTCTTTAGTTGGTTTTTTCCTCTTCTTCTTTTTCTCATCTCAAGATGATATTTTTTTGTTTCTTTTTTTCCAAAATCAATTTCTTTTTTTCCTCTCAATACTTTTGTTAATCTCTTTTAAATCAAAAGAGCAACAACCCTAAAGGTTTCCACCAAATTAAGGAAGAATATGCAGAATCAATGAAATTATAATGTATAAATATTCACTTTAATTTGTAGTACAATTGGTATTAGCTTTAAGTTTTAATAATTTATTGATCCTGTAATGGCCAGTGTTTTTAGACTCACGAATTTAAAATTTCATGAGCCTGACTCAAGAATCAATCATTAAAAAGTTCCAGTTGGTCTTTTTTATTCCAAAATCGTCTCTCCTTTAAATTTCAATCTTTAAATGTTAATCTGTTGAACTAATTATTCCGTTTTCTATTCATAATTGTCTTTCAAAGAGGAAAGATTAAAAGATTACAATAAGGTCTGGATTTAATCCAAAAGATGACATTTGTAAACAGATTATGACAAGTAAAATGAAAGAAAAATTGATAAAAAAATCAACTTTTATGGAAAAATTGAGTTGCAAGATTATCTAAAAGTTAAAATCTATTTATGCTAATTGAATGTTTAATGGTCAATAATCCTTGATCTTGAGCCATTCAAGTGATGTTAAACTTTGAAATGAATGATAAATGAAAGGAAGAAACAATTGAGCTTTGAGTTGACAATTTTGAAAACAAGTCTGATCAAAGTAGAACAGATTAAACTGATGTAATTAGACGGGGCACTTTGCCAGATTTAGTGATTAAGTTAAAATCAAATCCACTTGAAAGGAAAGTCTATAAATATTAATAAGAATCCGAAAGAAAAGTGTTCATGTTAGCAAGTAAGAGATGAACATCGCTGATGAAAAGATCATGATTATGATGGTGAATTATATTCCAGTAGGTAAGAGATTGGATGTTTCAGTCAACAATTACAAGTTGATTAACTGAAGAGTCTAAAAGTACAGATTCAATGTCATGTTATAAATAGTAAATACAAAACATCAGTCTAATACATTGTTTAACCGACTTTAATCTGTGAACCAATTTGAAATCATTGAAAATATCTTCAAGAGTAACTTCATTTAATCAGTCTGTCAATTGAGGCGTATTCAAGTTGGTCTGCACAACATCAGATGTTGATTTTTTATAGATTTGAGATTTTAATTATAATCAATCAAGAATACGAATAGATTTTCCTGACTAATGTATCAGAATTGAACATCAAAATATCTAGAATCAGGATTTGTGGCCTGACTTTTCATTTTTTTTAAAGAAAAAGATGATTTCAATTGTGCACAAGGAACTTATTTTTTTATTAATGATACAAGTTGACATGAAAATAATGATAAATGCCAACTTTAATTGAAATAATTAAAGGTATATTATTGGCTTCTTTGATTTGATCTCACTATTAATTTGTTTGGTGTTTGAAGGTGTATACATATAGAAAGTGAGTATATGTTGTCACTTATACATAAAAATTAGGGTAGAATAAATGTAATCAAGTGAAAATGTAAGAAACTTAAATTCCAGTTCCATAGAAAATTTAGATTATAGTCTGATTGTACAATAATTAGCAGAGTATTGGAAAAAATGTCGTCTTTAAAGGTAAAAAATTCATTCAATTATCAAGATATTTTTGTATTTTCTTTTGATTTGTTTAAAAAACATAATCTTTCATTTTCCTGTATCAGTATGGAACTGAAAATTAAGATCATTTACTGTATAAAGGTCTTCTATGATTTGATTACTTTTTGTTGTCGTTTTAAGCGTCTTTAAAAGATATCTCACAGTCAGGACCAGATAGTTTCAGTTGAGGTTCGAAATTATTATTTTTTTATACCTTGGCGTTGGTACAGCTGCAGCTGATGATGATGATGAATATGAAGATCACTTGGATGCTTGAAAGAAAGGATGTAAAGGAAATGAGAAAAAATAAATCAAGAAGCAGTAAGAAATGAGAAATGAAAGACATAGCCAAGACAATTACAGCAGATTATAGTGAGAGTAATGCGTTGATTAAAAATTATCATGTTTATGTTGAATTCGTACAGCAAAGGTAGCTGATACGAGTATCCTCCAACTTTGTCTTTTTAAAGTTTTACGGATACAAATGTTGAGCACGATTATAAGCGGGAAGAATAATTAAAAGGAAAAGAGGATAGGTAAGAGTAATTGTTCAATTCTAATTCACCATTTTAGGTAGCATCAATTATATGTGAATTAGATTTGTTTTCAGTGTAAACAGTTGTTGACGAGTAAATCGTTTTTTCGGTCACAGTTGGATTTTGCATGAGTAATTCGAGTTCGCGTTTCTGGTAACTTCAATATGTTAGGTTGATGGTTTTAAATAATTATCTTGATTGGAACTTGTTTATTATTGCTTTTCCTTGGCTACCAGCAGTAAGATGTATGGTCCCTTGAAATATTTTGTTTGAAAACCAAACAACGGGTTGAAAGATTTTTATCGGATAATCACTATAGACAAAAGACAAAAAGAAAAAAGAGAAAACATGAGTCGATGTACCTTATTTATGTCTGCAATTTTGTAGCAGTTTTGAGTGAAGAGTTAAGATATTGACAAAACAGGTTATACTGTAGAGACAATTTAACAGCAAAAGTAGAAAATGTAAAAACAATTAGTCACACTGTTAAACTACGTATCAAGGATATGAGATTTCATTCAAATTATTCACTAGAGTGAAATAATAATCAGTGCTAATAACATAAAGTAAACAATGACACTAAATGAAAACAATTTCCAGGTGGAATAATACGCAATGTGTCTGAAATTATTATGATTATCTAATTTGAATTGCCTATTTTTACGCTGACTGGTGAATCTTAAGAGAAGGAATCTTGTACTCAATCAAGGATCAAAGTTTTTCAGTGTAGCCAATTAAACACGACTGATATTTTGCATGGCTTATTTCTTACCATAGGCCTCTCTTGGGTTTCGCTTCATTACCACTTATGATAAATAACGGGAAAAGTAACGAAAATATACAGCCCGAAACAAACCATGAGTCAGATAATGAAGTTAATATGGCCAGAGGAAATCCAAATCCGAAAAAATAAGGCCAATTGTTTTCTATAACTTGCAGTCTTTTGTGGAGCTCCCAACCTACAAAAATGATATGAAAATTTAAATTATCCATTCTTTTTGCGTGAAAATGCAACAAACATACCCATATTAGACCATTTGTATTCAAAAGAATACAAAGCATAAAGTAAGCTTAAATGAAATAAGCTAGCGAGTTGACCAAGCAGCGGAAATGGGATGAAAGCAATCACTAATGCCTGTAGATAGAAAATTAAAGAAATGTTAAATTTAATAACGAAAGATGTTCCTTGAAGTGACTAGAAATATTAACCTGAATAAGAAATAGGGCTTGAATCATTAAACTGAAAAAAGTATCAGCAATCAGTTTAGGTATACTTCCAATGAAGGAAGGTCTTCCTTTGTATGTTGAATCAGCAATATCCTGAAACCATAAGGCATTAACAACCCGAGTCAACAAAAACACAGGCAATCTCCATAACGCGTCAAAGGTATGCGATAAAATAGGTTTCATCCAATACCATAATGATTGTACTACACCAGGTTGTGATCCAAATATTACATGAATGAAGGCATATAGCATTGGAAGAAGAACATAGTCAAATAGAATCAACGAGAACTGTAAAAATATAAAAAGAAATGAAACCAATTAGGATATGATTGTTAAACATTGTGAAATAACTATGACGATAAAATCTTACCCAAAATATACATCCATTGAGAAGGCAACATTGGCATATCATATGAAAAGTATTTTTGTTTGTTTTACGTCTAGGCTTAATTTTAACATTCTGTTTAGATGTACTTGGCGAAGATGATAAAGATGGTGATGGTGTAGGTACCGATGAGGGAGAGGATGAGGATTCAGAATCTGAGATTGCAGAGTTATAATGATTTTTTATGGCAAATATACCACTAATGGCATCTTTAAGACCACAAAGTATTCCTGTAAGGATATTTTGAGGGCCCATCAATAGCACATAAAGAATAAGGAAAGGGTAGAAAACAAAAGAAAGAAACAAACAATAGAGGAAAAGGCTGGTTGTTTACTAATTAATTTTATCCGAGTATTGGCAATGATGGCTTGTTGATTGATAAGGGTATTAATGGTTCACAAAATATATCAATTTAATACTCTCTATATATATTAATATGTTTATATAAATTCACTATTTAGATTTTACAAAATCAATAACATACGAGCTCATAAGCTCAAAACACATAAAAAACAATCACAAAGACTCTTTGACCTTACTCTTTGATCCTGATAATAAACAGGATAATTGATCTAGCTTTAAACAGCAGTAAATTTGGGTTAGTCCAAAATATCTAGATCTATGTATCTAGGTTCAAAATTATCTGTACAAAAGTTGCTCTCAGGATCGCTAGATGTCTCTAGATAATAATCTTTCCATTTTATTCAAACATGAGCAGCTTAAAGCTAGTTTCAGTGTAAAAACAATCACATTTTTCATCATTATCTCAAAACTTGATTGTTTCAATTAGATTGTTTTGGTTTTTTTTCCTTACTCATTTGTCATGTCGTCCATTCCAGATTTTTACTTTCGTTACTATGTTGGCCATAAAGGTAAATTTGGTCATGAATTTATCGAGTTTGAATTTCGACCGGATGGAAAGTTGCGATATGCTAACAACTCCAACTATAAAAATGATACCATGATCAGGAAAGAAGTTTATGTTTCCAAAGCAGTTATCAATGAATTAAAGCGTATCATTGAGGATTCCGAGATTATGGAAGAAGATGATGAACTTTGGCCACAACCTGATCGAGTTGGCCGCCAAGAATTGGAAATTGTACTCAATGATGAACACATTTCTTTTACAACAGCTAAAATCGGTTCTCTGGTTGATGTAAACAATAGCAAAGACCCCGAAGGTTTGAGAACCTTTTACTATTTAGTTCAAGATATCAAATGTTTTGTATTCTCTTTGATTTCCTTACATTTCAAGATTAAACCTATTTAATTATTTAAACGATATTTTGAATCTTTATCATTTCTTTTCATGCAATTCATTTTTGAATGTTTTTCCTTCAATTGCCTCCGGCTATGCTGCTACTATCTAAAAAATCAGCAGATGTCGCCCCTCTCTCTCTCTCTTTTTCTTTCAATGTAAGCAGTTTAACTGAAGCATAGAAAATCCTCTTCTCAACATTCACTTGATCCATTAATATTTAAACAAACTCTCAGTTGATTTTGTTTCCTCTGTATATTTATTGTAAATTGGTTCACATTAACTTTGGCCATGACAACTTACTGCCCTGAATGTGGAAGAAAATATGATATTTTTGATAAATTTTGGATTCAGTGTGATCATTGTAAAGAATGGTATCATGGTGAATGTGTTTACGTTCAACCTCACCAAGCTGTTTCACTTGACAAATTTTACTGTGCTCGCTGTGAATCTCGAGTAGGACCTTCTACCTATAAACCTGTCACTAATAATCATCGTCACAATGTCTATGAAGAAGATCCTAGTGAAAAAATGCAATCTGGTACTACTGCTTTCATCGATAAGTTAAAAACACGAAGATTTGACTTGATTGAACTTCCTCAAGTTCAAGGGAATCAACTATCTCTTACCTATTTGATTAAAAATGGATTCGATCAACCTATTTTTGTTGAGAAAAAGGATGGCCTCGATATGTGTGTTCCTCCAAGTGAATTTGGAATTGAACAAATTATCGAACTCATTGGTGGTTACACTGAGCTGGATGTGATTGACTCGAAACGACAACTCAGTATTCGTTTACCTTTGGTTGAGTTTGCTAGATGCATTAACATGGATCGCCGAGAGCAAACTCTAAATTGTATCAGTTTAGAGGTTAGTAAAACGAAACTAGGTCGCCTAATTAAACCTCCTGGAATCGTCAATAAATTAAGTTGGGTCGAGAACAGCTGGCCAGATGTCGATATTCGTCCTAATGTTTCAAAGTATTGTTTGATTTCTATGAAAGACAGTTACACTGACTTTCATATTGACTTTGGTGGTACCTCTGTTTGGTATCATGTTTTACAAGGGGAAAAAGTATTCTATCTGATCGAACCAACTCCACAACATCTATCTATTTATGAACAATGGATGAGTTGTCCAGATCAATCCGAGATTTTCCTGCCTGATCTCTTAAATGACCCTACAAAGTGTAAAATGTTGATTTTACGACAAGGACAGACCCTTTTCATACCCACTGGATGGATTCATGCCGTTCTGACAACTAAAGATTCTTTAGTTTTTGGGGGCAATTTTTTGCACTCATTAAACATCAAACTACAGCTGGATATTTATGAAATGGAAATCCGTCTACGAACTGCCGATAAATTTTTATTTCCTTTTTTCGAACTCACCAATTGGTATGCTGTTCCGACCATTTGTAAACTACTTCAAGACAGTTTTGTCAAACGACCACCTAGAAAAGAGTTTATTGAAGGAATCGAAGTGTTATCCAATTACCTTCGCAAATGGAACAACAAAAGTAAAGAGGAAAATTCGTTGAAAAATGGTGATTTCTCACCTTATGCGCCTAAAGGTTGCTTTAGTACAAAAAGACTAATCAATGATCTTGTGAAAAATCTCAGGTCTGTTTGCAGCCGCTTCGGCCAGACCAATCCATCACAACCTGCCAATTCTGCCCTTATGACCAAAAGTAAAAATGGTTTACCATCTATACCAACGTAAAATTTATTATAATAATTTTTTCTTCATTTTTTCATCAATAACTAACCTTATTACCTCAGAATTATCAAGATGCATTTTTTTGTAATAACTTACAAAATTTATCCAATTTGTTCATTTTTTTACACAAGCCATTATAACCAAAGTCAATATCAATAAGTTAAGTTTCTCTCAGCTCAACTTAATCAAGTATTAGATTACACTTCTTTATTAAATACACATTTACATTATATCTATCATGTATTTATCATACTTCACACTTTTTTCAATTTTACTCAAATTTAATTAATTATTTAAATACATTCATACACTTGTATTAGTAATAAAAATATCGATACAAAAATAAAGGACAAAAAAAATTCGAAGAGACCGCTTCATTTTCATTTGCCTGTAAAGGACGTTGTCAAGCAACCTCATGATATTTCCAGGAACAGGCTAAATAGACAGAAATCTCTGTCTATTTAGACGCTGGTGGCTAAATATACAGATCTAAGCTAATGCCCCCTATCGGCGAGTAAGTTGGTCGTGATTAAGGAAATCGTAAGTTATTCAGACGATATCCTCTTAGCTAACTGTTAAAAGTTATTTCGCAAAAAAGTGATTTTTTCTATTGAGTTCCCAATTTGAGATCCCAATTTGAGATCTCAAATAAATTATGAGTTCAACCAGTTCAGATAGTGGCATCTATGTTGGCCAAAGATTTAACACCATAAATGAATTAGAAAGTTTTATTGAAGAGTATGAAAAAAAAGAGTCAGTTCAACTGGTTAAAAGAACCACGAAAAAACATGATAACCCCGATATCAAGTATAAAAATTTGGTAATCGTTTGCAAAGCTGGTGGACGTGAATACAACACTAGGTCTAAAGGTTTGCGTCAATCAAGGTAAGTAAATATAATCTAATTCTAAAATTCTCGCATTTCAAATGATTGATTTTCATTTTTTCCATAGGTCCTATCTATCGGACTGCCAGTTTAAAATTAATATCAATTCACCACCAAATCAAAATTATTTGGTGGTAACAAGTATGAATGAACAACATACTTGCCAGATTGCTGGAAATCCTGCCATTTACTCGCGACTTCCGAGACAGAGACGACCAGACGAAGAGGCTGTTAAAATGATAAAAGATGTGAAGCAGTGTCGTGGAAATACTAAATCTTTAGTAACCAAATTGAAAGATGAATTTGGGAAATTCATTACCACCAAAGATATAGCAAATCTGCTTGCTAAAGAAAAAAGATCAAATCGTGCCACTGATCTCGAAAAATTACTGGATGCAATGAGATCCGTGCGTGAGAGCTCAATTTTTATTGAACACGAATCGAACATGGTAAATTGTATTTTCTTCCAAGACAGATTTATGCGAGATCTCTATTTGAGCTCCCCTGAGATTCTATTTATTGATGCAACTTATAAACTCAATCAAAATCGGATGTGTTTGCTCGTTTTCATGGTTGTCGATGGTAATGGAGAATCAGGAGTAGTTGGACTAGCTTTTTTGAAAAGTGAGTCAGAAGCTTGCACTTTAGCTGCTCTCGAAAGTTTCAAAAAAGCAGTTGGGACGGTTCAAGAAACTGAAATCATAATGGCCGATAAAGATATGGGGAATCGCAATGCTTTTGAAGAGGTAAGATATTTTTCAGAATTTAATTGAAATAGTGATTTATTTTTTTTCTAATTCTATCAGGCACTTCCTCATTGTAAAATACATATTTGTATTTTTCATGTCATCCAAACATTCATACGTGAAGTAACATGCGGAAAAAGAGATCTCAATCCTGAGCAGAGAGACAAGGCTTTAGCTTTACTCAAAAACATGGTTTACAGCGACAGCGAAGAAAAATACTTACGTCTTTATGATGAGTTATGCAGAATGGAAATCCCTAAAGTTAAAGAATACTTTGATGTGAACTGGCATGGTATTCGTGATCAGTGGGCGATGTTCGGCCAGAATACGGTTTCACATTTTATGAATAGAACCAACAATAGACTCGAACGTTTCAATCGCGAGTTACAGGAAGTTGTGGGTAAATACAGTGAGATCTCAGTTTCTTTTACTCATATTATGACGGTCGTGCGTACTCTAAGAGATATTCGGAGTCAGAAAGCTATCGAAATGCTAGTGAAACAGCCACGGATAGATGTTTTATGCCCTACATTGAAGAAATATCATGAACACCTAACTGACTACGCTTTTAAAAGGTTGAGAGTTCAATTTGAGATCTCACATGATTTACTCGATTTTGATGTGATTGGAAATAGTGCAATGCACAGAGCGAATGGCAAAAATTATAATGTAACTCTGGATGGCTGCTCCTGTTCGTTTTTCAATGTGATGAAGCTACCATGCAAGCATTTGTTAAAATTATTTCGATTGTTGGATAAAGACGACTTCATTCCGGAGTTATGTGATCAACGGTGGACTTTAGCTCGCTTTAGAGAAATCCAAAAAAAATTACTCAATCTTGATGAAAGTGATACACTTACTATCGCAAATAAAAAGCGAGATCTCATTCCGAGATCTTTCTCTACAAAATTCAGGGAACTGAAATCTGTTTTACTGGATATTGCGGATGTAGTTGCCTCTCAACCAAATCATATTTATGAGTATGTATTCAATGAAGTAAAGACATTGAAAGAATCTTTGGATGGCAAAATTGCCGAAATCACACAGGAAATAAACCAAACAAGCGAGCAAGCTTCAAGTGAGAAGTGTTTCTGTGGAATTGATAATCCAGATTTAGCAATCGACGGTTTCATGTGTTTGCATTGTCGTGCTATCACACATTCTACTTGCCATGGCTTCCTTAATTGTTTCAGTCCTGATTACGATACACGTTTCGATCAAGATCAAAATCTTTCTTGCTGGCGTTGTCCGATTGAGAAGTATTCTGATATTAATCTCAAAAGCCGCACGCCTTCTGATCTAAGAAAACTTGGGTTGACAAGATTAGCCATTAAAAACCTCATCATAAACGGTAATTTTGAAATCGAGCCTGCCATTCTGGAAACCCAAAATAAATTAGATGTCAGTTGTATGAAAACTCTGGTAAAACGCTTTTTCACGAAGATAGATCAAGTAACGAATCTTGATCTCATTGAGATAATTTATGGTGATGTTAGCGATGATCAAGATGCTCTATCTGAGATCTCAAACACAGATGTTCAACCGGTTGCTCCACCATTGCCAGCTGGTATTGACCATAGTTATGCTGGTCAGATTTCGCAATTAGTTTTACCACCAGTCCAAATCAATATTAGACCAAGAGGCTCACAAAAGGCTACTAAGAGCACAACTCTGAAAACATTCAATGAGTTGAATGGCTATAATAAAAAGAAACGTAAGTTATCAGTCTCTTTCTCTCATTTGTTCAATTTCTACAAAAATTTAAATGCTTATTAATTCTATTACTTACAGGAATGCTTTCATGGTTGGGGTTGTCAATAAATACAGAAGCAATCATCACCGGCAATGTAAAAATTACTGCTGGACATGTTGATGGCATTGACACGCTGGCATTACAAAAATTCAGGAATGATTTTGTTGATCAAAATCTCATCGAGCAATTTTTTGAAACCCAAGCGTTTGTTCAATTCGGAAATATGTTATCATCACTAAAAAACAAACGCTGGCTCTGTCACGAATGCAAAAAAACTACAGGCCAAAAGACAACCATAGGATGTGATGTTTGTTTGTCATGGTATCACTTGAGATGCGTTGGCCTCAAAAGTGCTCCAAAAACAGAATTTTATAAATGCCCTGAGTGCGTTTGATTCCATTATTTCTCTGCGCTTTAACTCTCTTATTCTTCTTTCACATTTTATTTTATAAATTCAGCTTATTTCGAGACCTCACTTCGAGATCTCATTTTGAGATCTCACTTCGAGATCTCATTTCGAGATCTCATTTCGAGATCTCATTTCGAGATCTCATTTCGAGATCTCATTTCGAGATCTCACTTCGAGATCTCACTTCGAGATCTCACTTCGAGATCTCAATTCGAAATCTCACTTAAAAACTCACTTTGAACTCTCAATTTATTAAACATTAATTTCGTATCCTTAACTAACTATCTGTTTTAGAATCCTTTTGTTGCCAATAAAAATTACAATTACATATCTCATTCAATTTTCAAATTTATTTCAAAATGGGTGATGTTGTTGAGAACGATTGGGCTTTTGCGAGAGTGAGAGAGTGTGAAAGATTAATTGATGAACAAAATGAACAAATTTCAAGTCTACAGGCAAAAATTACTAATTTGAAAAAAATCAAAACCAAAGTTGTCAAGGAGAATAGAGAAATAAAGAAAGAATTGGAAAATATTAAAGTTCAATACACTGGCCATTTTAAATATTCTTGTGAAAAATGTTCTTATATTACATGTAAAAAAGCGAATTTGGATAGACACAATAATTCTTGTGAAAAAAAAATTCGTTTTGACCGCCCTTCAAAATGATCTGCTATTAAGGATACTACTTATATCTATTAACCGATCCCATTTCTGTGTATTTAGACTTCACCATATTTCCAACATGCGGCAAGATTGTTCAGTTCGTTCCTTGTGATTCATCTTATTTTTGATTGTGGTTGTTTCTCTCATTTAAATAAAGTTTTTCTTAATTACATCTGTACTCTAATCTTGCTACTTCAAGATGGTTAACTTTTCAGCCCGATTCCGGACCAAAGATACCAACATCAGCATTCCAGATACTGTCTATAGTTTGAATGGTAATTTGGGACCAAAAGAATTGTCCAATCTTATTAAAACTGTGTACAAAGGAACTTCACCGGACACAGATTCTTTATCAGATGGCATAAGACTTTCGTTCATCATCGATGATCGCTTGCTGCGTTCAAATTTGGTTGCACATTTTCAAGAGGAAACTGAAGATGGAAATGAGGCTGGACCAATCGACGAAGAGAAAGTTTTGGAAATAGAATATTTCATTAACCAAAAGGCGCCCATACCAATTAACTCTTGTTCCACCGATGATTGGATTAGCTGTATAGATACTAATGAAGCAGCTATTATCAATGGGTGCTATGATGGAACTGTCAACATTTGGAAAATAGGAAAGTTTGATCAACTTATATCGATACCTGCTCACGCTTCCGCGGTGAAAGATGTAAAATGGATTCCTCGACAACAGATGGTTGGATTTGATAATTTGTCTGAGAATGATTATTTCTTTGTCACTACATCTAACGATGAAACAGTCTGTGTTTGGAAGATAAATTTAAATGAGGAAAAAGTTGATCAAATTTATCTATGCAAGGGACATACACGTTCAGTCGACTGTGTAGACATTCAAGATGACATTTTTGCTACTGGTTCATATGATGCATTACTCAAAATTTGGTCACTTTATGATAAAGAAAAACCTGGTGATGAAAACGAACCAGTTGAAAACAGTACCAAAAAATTCAAAACTAGTGACAAAGAAGAGACTGACAGCAGTTGTAAAGTTAAAACACCTATCATGACACTTGCTGATCATTCAGAAGCTATTTCCGATCTATGTTTTATCCGAGATTCAACCGACATTTCCAAGCAAGGAAATTTGCCTACAATAATAGTCACATGTTCTATGGATAATACAATTAAATTATGGGACGTTGAATTAGGAAAAGTCGATTCAACATTATCCGGCTCTAAAGCATTTCTATCAATAAGTTATTCACCAATGAAGAAATGTTTAATCAGCGGCTCTTGTGATCGTCATATAAGATTATGGGATCCTCGTTCAAGCGAAGGTTCAATTGTTAAATCCGTTTTCACATCTCATCAAGGTTGGATTACATCCGTAAATTGGTCACCTACCAACGAAAATCTGTTCATATCAGGATCTTATGATGCAATCGTTAAGCAATGGGACATTCGAAGTAATCGTGGATCACTTTATGATCTGATAGGACACGAGGATAAAGTTCTTTCTACCGACTGGTCCAATCCAAAGTATATTGTTTCTGGTTCTGCAGATAAACATTTAAAAATTTATCAAAATGAATGCTGAAATAAATAAACCTAGTTTCTTGTTCACTCTCAAGCCACATTAAGTTATGTATTCGCGACATCGCTTTTTCAGCTGTTGGATATTACAAGGCAATTTTTCAGTCAACTAATTATGTTTATCTTTTGCAAAATTCCCTTTTCTTTTGTTAAATTTACTACCTCATCATTATAAAAAGTGTGAACTTTCATTCACAATTAACTGATGACATTCATTCTCTGCCAAAAACTTTTGATCTAATCATAGCTATGAAAATGAAGATGACCTTTAAATAATATCTTTTGTTTTCTGTTGATAATGTTAATGGGAATGTTTTGAAAGGAATAATATCATTTGACCAAATGACTTAAATATCCATTTCTGAATTATTTTCCTAAAAATCTTGTTTTGAATTTATTCGCAGTCAAGATTACTTTAAATGCCAAGTGCTGACTAATAGACAATATTCTGAATGTGAACTGGTTAATCTGTGAATAACCATTGAGATAAACAGGTTTTCGTGATAAGAGCTTAAAATTTTGGAAGAGATTAGCCTTTGGATTCTTTCAATAATCTCATTTTCTAAACAGATTTTCAGGCTTATTCTAAATGCATTTTTAGTGATGAGTACTCAACAATGCTAACTAGGTTAGAAAAAATTTCCTTTTAATATGTAAATATAATCGGCAATATTTTAACTTAACCTCAATTTTACATAAATTACATTCAATTAGTTTATCAAATTCATTTGGAAAATTGTCGTTTGTCTTGTCCCATCTTTTTTGGTTTCTTGTAAATATTTGATTTGGCAAATTTCTTTTCTCCTCCAGGGGTAACAGATTTAAAACTTGCGTCTCTTTTACGCTTCATAGTTCGTTCAACAGGCTTTTTGTTCGAAATGGCTGCAGAGTAAAATTTGAAAATAAAATTAGATAAACGGAAAATTTCAGAAGAATTGTCTAGAACAAAAAAAAAACTTACGTAAATCAACAAACGGCGGGTTCTGGAAACCAAAGGATTTTGAAACGGCAATCAAATCCAATGTATTAATATCGAATATTGTTTTAAGATGGTGAGAATCGTAAGCTCTGATGTAAGCCTTGTAAGCTTCCTTAGCTGATAGATTTAAAAAGTAATTTTTACCAATCAATTTTTCAAGCTTTAGGGGAAAAAGTAAATTATAAATCATTAGTCAAATGCAGATCATGAAAGCTAGAAAAACAGATAAAACATTTTTAGATAACAAACCTGTGCTTGAATATTGGCTACTTTATTCCACGAAAATTCAAATTCCATTAATGGAATTTTAGCTTCTTTAAGATATTGCAGGAAACCGAGTTCTTCTGGTCTAAGCAATAATAATGCATGACCAATGGCTTGATCTCCTCGAGCTGTTCGACCGACTCTGTGGATGTATTCCTGTAAACGAATAAAAAAATGATCAGAACTAATGATACTTTGAAATAGTTATTTCAAATAAAATACCTTTGGATCATCTGGAGGATCATATTGAACAATCCAATCAATTTTTGGAATGTCTAAGCCTCTGGCAGCAACATCGGTACAAAGCAGGATACCAGAATCAGCATTACAGAATTGGAAGAAAGTTGTTGTTCTCTTGGTTTGCTTTTGCTTTCCCTATAAATGAAAGGAATATTGGAATATCAATTCTGTTCAAATAGAAAGAACAAGATTAAAAATGAAAAGTATTGAGACTTACATGAATACACATGACAGGAAGATCGATGTAATTGAGAAGTTCATGGTGAAATTTGACTGACATACATGAACTGAAAAAAACCATTATCTTCTTGTTTCGATTTTTCTTCAGGAAAGTGAAGAGAAGCAAAAATCGCTTCTCACTTGGAGCAATAACATAGCCTTGTTCTAACCCATCGACTGTAGCCGTATCTTTATTATCCGCAATACCAACGTACATAGGCTCTCCTTTAAGAGCCAAAGAAATTAGAGTTTCAGTTTTTTGAGTTAAAGTTGCACTGAAAAGCATAGTTTGTCTCCTCGTGGGAAGGATGCGAATAATTTGTTTCATTTCCTCTTCAAAACCAATATCCAGTATACGATCAGCTTCATCAATTACTAAGCATTGAAGATTTTTAAACAGAAAATTTTTTGTATTTTGAAGATGATCCAAGAGTCTACCAGGTGTTGCAACAAGTATGTTTACTCCTTTAATAAGTTTGTCAGCTTCTGATCTTCTATTTGTGCCACCCATGATTAAACCAAACGTCTGGGAATGATATTTCATTAGATCTTTCAAAACACCAAAAGTTTGCATAGATAATTCACGAGTAGGAGAAATAATGATGACTCCAGTCCCATTTCTAGGCATAAATTTGAGTTTACTCATCAATTCAATAACAGGTATAAGAAAAGCTAGTGTTTTACCAGAACCAGTTTTAGCTGACCCAACAAGATCTCTGTTAATAAAATATAAACGCAACAATGTTAATTCAATTAGACTTTAAGCAAAAACTGATCACAACCAATGAGAATGCAAGCAAATGATCAAATGAAATAAAACAATTGATAAAAGTAACAATTACTTACTTTCCTTCCAACAAATGGGGAATAGATTCAGCTTGAATTTGAGTCATTCGACTGAAGCCCATTTCATCGAGAACTTTCAGAGTCTTGTCAGAAATTGAATCACTGTATTCAGTGAAACAATTTTGTGACAAAATATTGTCTCCAATCAATACTTTCTTCTCTTCAGCCATCTTTAAATATCAATTGAACAATAATTTAACCACGAAACAAAAAAGAAATCACCATAAAATCAGGTAAAAGAAACGTTTAAAGTACCAGATGAAAACAAAACCAAACTCACATTTTTAGGTTTAACCACATGTGAACCAAAAAAAGGAGGCGCTTCTCTATGGAGAATCATAAAGCGCCATTTTCAAATGCGCAAAGTTTATTAACCAGCATTTCAAGAAACTAAACAAGTAACGATTTGTTAATCAACTCAACAATGCAGCCTAATAATCATAATAAAATAACAGAGCTAAAGATGTAAAATAAGGCACAAATACCTCAACCAAACAAAGGCTAATGACCCAATATCATTTAAAGATTAATAGGTTCAAACAGATTCCCATGTATTTACAATGTAATTGTTAACTAAAAGGTTTACATTATAAATATTACAATTAGATAATCAAAGGAAAAGAAAAGCCAAGTCCATTCATGTTCAATGGTTGAGAGTGAAACATGAAAAGTACAGTGATAAATGGTGTTGATTAGGAGAAAAGGTGAAAATGGGAAAAATGTTTTAATTGTCAGGTAAAGTAATTTCTCTTAAAGATTGATTTGATTTTGATTAATAATTGAATCCATCCTTTGTCTCCCAATGTTATTTAGAAATCTAATTAACTCGGAAAAGGTTCATTGAAGTTAACATGAAGCAAAGCCAAAATGATTTAATGACTGCATAAAGATTAACTTAATAAAATCAGTAATCAACTCTAAGGCCATAAAAGTACTCGAACAGTTTCTTTGGATCAATGAAAAAAAAATCAAATGAAAGAGCAAATCTTTTATTTTTTTTCACCTAACAAAGATTCAAGCAAAGTCAAGCTAATTAGAGACAACATTTTCAAAATTTCACCATCATTATTCATTTCTCATGAATATACATCTATGGTAATGAATATGATGATTTAAAATTGAAAAATAGACTGTCAATGATGATCAATGATTGTTGACAATGTTAATGTTGTAAGTCATTTTATCTGTTAGACGGTGAAAATGTTTGCCCATTAAATATTGTTAGCTGATAAAAAAAAATTGATTTAATGAAATGAATAAAAGTTAATGATTAAGTTAAATGCGGTGATTTAAGTGATGAAACAAGCAATCTTTGAAAAGGTTGGCAAAACAAAGCAAAAGGTTACTTTGCATAACAAATTAAGGTTAAAATAAATAAAGTAAATTACTTTTTCAGGTAACAAAGCTAAAGTTTAATGCAAACCCAAATGTTTATCAAAATGTAAAGATTCATATTTTTCCTGTTTCACCCCTCAGCATGTTCATTATCATCTTCATTTACACCATTTCAGTCCCTGAACCAGTCTAAGCAAACAATGAAACACTGAAGAGATTTACACTTAAAAGCTGTCCATCTTTAGACAAGCCAACATTCACTAAAAGTCAACCTAAACAAGTGACTCTTGTCCCATCAACTTCAACACACTGTTGAGGTTTTTCACGTAAAACCCAAAAATAAAATTCAACCTTCATTTTGATCTCAATTTTGATCTTATTTAATTTAATCATCTTTTCATCGTTTTTGCTCTTCTTTAATTTCATGATGGGTTCAGATTTTAACTTAACCTTTGTCTTTAATAATAAAAAAGAGAATCAAATTTTTGAGCTTTTCATTGAAAAATTGCAAGAAAAAGAGGAAAAAGTAGAAACTTAAAATGAAATGAAAGAAAAACATTTTCACCATCTTAATCAAAATCATGCCCATTATCATCTTCATCTTCACTATTTTAATTTACCTTATCTGTTCAGTCAGAATGTTCAATAAATTATTCATTGCACCTTCATCAAGTCTTCTAACTTTTGCTTCAATGAAAATTACTCTCAACAAAAAGTGATATTGACTTTTATCAGAAAAGTCAGAAAAGTTTATTCATATTTTTCAGATGGAACCAAGAAAACTGTAAAGGTAAAGGAGAAGAAAAAAGGAAAGAAAGAAGATGATGATAAAAGATGATGAAGGAAAAGATGAAATAGATGAAGCTCATTACCTGGTAAGAATAAGAAGATAAAAAAAAGATGGGAAAAAAGAAGAAGAAGAAAGAAATATTATTTGAAAGAAAAAATGTCTTTTACCTTCAATCATTTCATTTCATGTTACACCATCTTACTTCATGATACACATTGTATACAATAAATAAATACTTTTAATGATGAAAGAAACACTAGATATATCATGCTCATCTGTATCTTCATCTGTATCTTCATCTGAATCATTTTCCATTCAAGATAATCGATTACATCTTATAATTCTGATGTTACTTTTTCACTTAAAGTAATTTCATTTGAACCCAAAGTCAAACCCAAATGATGCAGACACACACACACACAATATTAACCTTTCATCATGATTTATTAACACTCTTCTTGGAAACCCTTTTTTCACATCAATATCAAAGTAATCATTATCAGTTGATTATTGATTGGTTTTATCCTAAAATGTGATCCAAAAAAGTGATCATCAATTAACACAAAAATGGTCTCAATGTTGGTCAAGCTTTTGTCTCAAGTATATTCATCATTCACCAACACTTTTCAAGACTGAATTTCCAATCAGTTTGATCGAAAGGTTAATCACTGAATTTGGCCAGATGAAAAGGTAAACAAAGATGAGCAAACAATTAATCAATTTAATACTAAATTTAATAAACTCAACAAGATATGTTAATCCATTTAATTATAAAGAAGAATCAAGAAGAAGAAGACAAAAAATCGTTTCCCTGTTAACCAAATAGGCAAACATGAAGGAAACCTAAACCAAGCTTAGCCAAATTTTTGCTCATTAGACAAGATTAAACCTTAATATGTCAACAAACACACCAATTAATTAGAGATTTAATCAACCCTCATCAGAGTAACTTCACAAATCATCAATCATCAAAATGATGGTTACAATCAAGCTTTTCAATTTGATAACAGCAAACCCTTATCAAGTCTCAAGAGGAGAGACACAATAATGTGTATTACATGGAAGCAAAACAAAACAAAATAACATCTAATAATGAACACTTTTTTTTCATCCCTCATCATCAAATCATGTTAATATTAATATTGATCATGAAAATGATGAACAGGGAAGAAATAATAATCAGTAGAAGAAGAAGAAGCTAAACTGACGAATGGCGTTTATTAAATAATACATTTAATAGTCAGTATGCAACTGATTTTGGATATTGAATATAATGCCTTTTACCTTCAATTGGATAACAAAATGATGATAACTGTTAATGCAATAATATGATATGAAACAATCACAAAACTCATTGATATTACATTTTGAATCATTTTCCTGGTTAACTGATAATTTTGCATTCTTTATTATTATTTATCATTTTAATGGCACTTTTTGTTTTGTTATTGCCTCTAAATTATCACAAAAATCAGTGTTAAATCTTTATTATCACCAATTTTCATGGTAATTTCATTTACTCTTCCAGTTATCTTATTTTAACCTTAACTAAAATAAATTTAAATAACAAACCCTTTTAAATAATAAATATTGGATAATAGATATTTATCTCTTATCATATTATTAAGGTTATCATCTTTTCACTCCCAGACAAAAATCGATATAAATGATAATCAATTTTGGGATGAACAACGTTTATTCAATAAAATGACGCATTTGAAAAATGATGGTCAACTTTTCTTGTTGATAAATGAATTTAATGAGAAATTTCAAAAAGATTATTCAGTTATCATCATTATCATTTCACTTGGACCCAATAAAAGGTTCCATTTCGAAAGGTCAATTTTCTTCTGCCTTCAACTTGATGGTCCTGTCAAGTTTAATTATCAGTAAAAGTAAGTAAACCATATTTTTGTTCAATCATATTTTCCGCCAGACAGATTTTAAGACCCAATTGTTGGAACTGGAATAAGATCAACTTAGCAGACTGTTTAATATTGTAATGAAATGTTCGGAGTTTACATAATTACCAAGTCAAGAAGTCAGAGTAATAACAAAAATTAAGAAGGTTCATTGTCAGGAAGACGACCAAGATGGTTCATTGTCTGCGGGTAAACGGCTTTCGCCCTTCAAATAGAGTAATCGACTTATCTCATATAAACCATGATCGAAGTCGTCGATCATGGAAGAGCTACTTACAAAAAGAGTACCAGAATCTTCTAGACGAGTCAGCTATTCAACCAAGTCAGAAATTCCTTATATTCAAGACTGTTGCAAGATTACTCAATCAGCTAACAACATGGAGAAACCCATCTACGATTCGGGATAAAAGACAGAAAAACTGGGGAAAAGAGGCAAATAAAGGACAAACAGACAAAAATAAAACAAGAAAGCAAAAATTTTTCCCTCTCTTGGATGGGTTTTAACAGTATATCTTATAATATTATATTCAGATCTTTGGGAGTAATTACAATAGGAACATCTTAGAATGCTGAATTTCAGTCTTTTTCTGGGCTCAGCAATTTAATCGTTGTTCCGATTGCCCAACCCAAAGATAAATTTTATAACCATTTCAACTTTTCTTCAAATGTACGGTTCACCAATCTCCGGATCTTTTGCAGCATTGTTTCATTCACTTTTGCCTTTTCTAAAATTTCAAGTTCTCGCTAATTAAGTGTGAGCCTTTCTATTTTCCCGCTATTCTCAAATACTTTCAGACGCAAATCTTTATATTCTTTATTTCCATAAGCGAAAAACAATATTTTCTGTTCGTAAACATCGACACAGTTCGACTCTAAATTAAACTATCCTCTCTCAACTTGCGAAGTTATTCAAAATTGCAAGCTGACATCTGAATAGCTCTGTGTAATCAACAGCTGGGCCAAACAAAGTTGTTAACAGACTAAATTTTGCATTATTATTGACCAACCAAGTGAAATGTCTATTGAAATAGAATAATGATTGGCTATTGTTCAGGTCAACATGAACTGTTACAATTGAAAAGCATCATGAAAACATTTCACTTTTCAACAATTTTTTTATCACCAAACAATCTACCAGTTGATGACTACCAGAAGAGTCAATTTCGCGATCTTTTTTCCAGACAATTTTACATACCTTGGCCAATAAAATGCGCTATTCAAGCTCTATTAATGTACTTGAATAGACTAATCATGGATGTTAGACAATTTGCTTCTCTTGCACATCATCCCATTCCATCAACATCTTTGTAGCTGTTTAATAAACTATGGTTAATACACATTCCCTGGTGAGTGAAGCTTTTACGTTTACTTGTTTTATAGCAAATAAGATGTTACCAATTTCAATTAATGATACCCAGTTTGAGCAATAATAAGGTTCAAGATTGACTGGCTCATTGAAACAGAAGGAGGCAAGAGAAGGTTATAATCGTAAATTTACTTTTGTGGTTCCTTGTCATCATCATCATCATCATCATTATTCCATCTTCTTTCCTCTTTGACTACTTGATGGTAATCAAAAAGGGTCAACAAAATGCTTCCATTATAATCATTGATGGTCAAGATGGAAACACAGAGAAACATTATTAGCTTTGGGAAGACACAATAACTTTACTTTTGTTGCCCTTTTATGTTTCATGATTATCATGCAGCGATTACAGTTGATCAGTCAAATGGTGAATGAAAAGATATTTGATTAAAAGGTTGATCATTTAAACACACACACAAAAAAATAAGGCAACAATGAGTAGTCGATTGAGAAGCAAAGCAAGTCGACCATTACTCTGATCAGTTTACAGTGGACATTGTGACCAAATTATTGATCAATTATCAATTTGGTGACTTTTTCTTGTTCCAATGCACACCAATGGATTACTCGGCATCTAATCTGACAGAGAAAAGTGAGAAAATTGAGATTTTTCCTCATTCCTTTCCTTTCCTATTATTTAAACAATTTTCCCAGTCAACATTGATTGATGACAATCAAACATCTACATTTACAATGGCAAACTGTGACTTATTTTTACCTTTTTTTTTACTATTATTATCATTATTGTTGTTCTGTTTATTTTTTTTCTTCTTCTTGTTATACTTTTTCCTTTTCTCTCTTTTACACTGTTTTATTCACATTCTGCATCTCATTTGTGGTTCATTCAAGTTGACATGTTGACATTCATTTCACGTCAAACATTTACATTTCAGGTGCTAGTATGTTAGCATTTCACTGTATCACCTTATTCACAGAATTAGATTATTGTGATTCCCTTGCATCTATAACAATTATCGGAAATGAAATTTGTATTTGATTCCAGTTAAACAGTGGAAAGATGAACGCAAACATTGAAAACGAGAGAAAAATTTCAACAAAAAAACAGCCGAACAGAAAATGAAAATTTCTCGCCAAAACCAAAAATTAACCCAAAATTTCCATCCATTCATCATTGAACTAAGAATAAAGTTTCTCATTGAATTTGACCGAAAAATTTGTTCTTCATTAAGCCTTGAATCTGCCATGAATGAAGTCATATTCAACTGATGATGACAACCTCAACCTTTCATCAAGATTAATCAGAAATGATTTCCTTTATTCGAATGAAAAATGTTTCAAATTTTGGGTGAAAATTTAAATTGGCATCGAATAAGAAACATTTTTGGTTCCTTTTGAAATAAAATCGATTCTAATGTCAATAATGATTGAATGAGCAAATGCGATATTGTCTTATTAAACCTGCAACTTGAAACTCTTTTAGACTGGTTCACATGATAATTCAATTTTACAATGTAATTCAATCAGCATAATTATGTTTGATATTTGCATCCATTTGAAGGATATTTTTTCGACTCTTTGTTTTAACCTGATTCTTTGTTCAATTCTTACATTTTTACTTGGAAATTTAATTACAACCTTTCTTTAATTTGATTAAAAAACAATTTACATTCAATAGTTACTTTGCGCTTCGGAGGCTCTTCAAGATGCAACCAACTCAACCTGTCAACACTTGATTTGCTCGGTCAAAACTAAAGCCAATCAACTGCTTCTTTTTTCACACGTAAAAAGTCGAGTCTCTCGTCTGAAGGCAGACTTTACTTGTTCAACTGATACACTGTTTCAATGGGTTTGTGCACATGAAAAGTAAACAAGATTTGGTTCCATGTCTTTGACCCATTATTGAAAGTTATCAATGGAAAGACACAATGGAATCCTTGAGAGACTTTTAACCTTTCCCACTTGAACATGATCTGGCTTTACATCAGTGATTTTTGTCTTATCTTCATGTCCATTAAAAGGATGGACAAAAAGGTTAAACCATGAAACGACAGGAAAATAGCATGCAATCCAATTGAAAAGGTCAATTGAAACTTCAAACTTTACAATTGATTTCTTCTCTTCTCTTCATTTTCTTCCCAATAAACTCGCCTCGATCAGTGAATGACAAATTTGGTTGAGAGGAAAAAAAGCAATGAAAAAAATCTTTGATTGATGAACGTATAAAGCTTATCATTTACAAGAATAATCATGAACCATATTGAGCCACTCCATGCATTTGGGTAAAAATGTTCAATCGATATTGAACGTTGTTTCTCTTATCATGTAAAACATGTTAAGAGAACACATTTTACCAGTTTTACTTTTCCAACGATAAAGATCATTCTATTGAGCACTCAAGCCAAATCACTGTTAATGTAAAAGAACTTTTTTTTCAATGAATTGAACGACTTTCGAACCAATAAGATTCATTATTTTTCAATCAATGGTAAAGGAAAGCAAACGGAAGACGAAAATGAAGATGAATTCAGAATTGATACATTTTTTGTCTTCAATGAATATCTTAATAACAGGGAATGAAAAGATTTCCAGTCAATCGATGATAAGATGAAAAAAGAGAAAGAAAAGGGAAAAGAAGAACAAGAAAAGGTACATTTGAAATCGATTCATTTTAATGATCATATTCAAGACAATTTCATCTCTAATAAGACTCAACAAATGAGCAACTAAAATCAGAATAAACAACAAAAGAATAATGAAGAAAATGTTGATCAATAGATTAACTATGAATATGGAATCGAAAAAATCATTTCAAAAAATTCTCTTCCCTCAGCAAAATGAGCAAAAGATTTCAGTAATTTCTGAACATAAAGAGTCTAAACTAGTGTTAAAAGCACAATCAGAATCTGGTCGAATTTTGAGTTTTGAAAATATTTTCATGACAAGTTTGAAGGTGATGAGCTTGACGATTAGAGGTTCAATTGTTGATTGAATCTTGCATTGTTGATGGAAGCTTATTAAGCTCAATTTTGATGAGTTTTTTATCAAATGTTTGCCAATCGTAATTGGTTGAACAGTATAATTGGAAAGTGAAAAATGTATGAAAGTGGATAAAGCTGTCAGTGTAACCTTAATAGTACCAGTATCACTGGTATTAAACAGATATAAAAATATTCTTGATTTACTCAGATTTACGCAAAATCATATACGATTGTAGCATGAGAATGACAATGAAAGCAAGAAGAGGATAACATGAAATTGAACAGGGAAAAGGTAAAAACTAATACATTTACATGAATGTTGATGAAGGAATGAGAAAGGAATGGGAAAACATGGAAAGGTGATAAGTTGCGTTGCAACAAAAACATTGAATATATAGCGTTTTCACCGATCAAAAATCGGTGACCTAGAAAAGAGTATAAAGATGACGAACAAGAAGAAAAGGTGAGATGAGAAAAGAGTAAAGATAATGATGGATAAAAGGTTAAAAAGAGAAACATGGAGTTGTCATCATGACGAAGAAGAAGAAGAAGAAGAAAGAAGAAGAAAAAAAAGAGAGGCAAGACAGAGAGGTAAAGGGTGTTGAGGCTTGTTTCGATAAAAGGTCATGAATACAACTTTTTATTCTCAAGTTCTTTACCTGAGATCGATAAAAGTTGAACATGGAATTGGCAGAGTTTACGCATGTTCTCCATGCAATTTGTCAGGAAGAAAAGGGAGGGATTGGAAAGGGATGATGATGATGATGATGATAAAGAGAAGAAGAGAGAAGTGAAAAGTGTTAGACAGATGGATAGAAAGGGAGAAAAGAGAGAAATGATTGAGAAGATTGGATGATGAAGAGAGAGATGAAAGTGAAGAAGAGATGAGCCAAAATTAAGGTAGAAGACTTTAGTCTTTTGTGTCGTTAAGGTTATGTTGTTATTGTTGTTGAAATATAATTGTGATCATCATCTTCATCTTTATCATCATTGAGACCAAATATTGACAAGCAATATACACTTTTTCATATACACTTTCATTGTAACTTACATTGTAAATGTTTTTAGTGTTTGTGTTGAGTTTTGTTTTGCCTTGAATGCTGTAACAAACACATCAACAACCAAAGCAACTTTCAACTTTCATTTGATTATAAAGACATTTCATGTTTCCACCAATTCTGTAATTCACATGGAAAGTCAAAAATGAGTGAAAAAGCAAGGTGAAATTTGCTCAAAAATCTGATCAGTGAACATTATTCAATCTTTACTGCCTTTAAAGGTTAACATCAAAGTTGTGTTGGATTTACTGATTATTGTGAAAAAAAGAGTAAAAGTGATTTCTTCAATTGAAGCTTTTCTTTCTGGTTTTTCCTTCCTTTCTGTCTGTGCACTGTGTGTCCAATCGATATCATTATGAATCGAAATAGTTCACGTTTAGAGGTTCCACAAGAGTTGACCAATTTACTGCTCGATTTTACTGTAAGTGTGCTAATCAACAAACCAGGAGATGTTGTTGATTATGCGGCTTCCTACTTCAACCGTTTGAAGGATGAAAGAAAGGCACCAATTAGGTGTCAGACAACAAGCTCATCATCGTCAACAACAGCAGCAACAATTACAAATCAAACGGATAAACATTTGGATGAGGAGAATGAAAATGAAGACTCTTTTGATTTCAGTAAGTACATTTACCTCATCACCTTGATTCACTCAAAAACACACTTTTCTCTCTTCCTCTTCATTCCATCACCTCTTACCATTCATCATTCCCCATCCTCATCACCATCAAAGCCTGCGTTTACTTTTTCCTCCCTCATTCCCTCTCCATTATCCCAATGTGAATTCATTTATTTATTTATTCACTTTCCCTTCAAGGTTAACTTCAACAGCTTTTCAATCAAAAAATGTTTCCAATTCCGTTTCCTTTTATTTCCTCTCCATCTTCATCATCGAACAGCAAAAAGAGCCAAAAAATTGATTGATTTGTTACCTGAAAATGAATCGAGAAACAAAAACAAGAGATGAAAATGAATGTTATCTTTTAATCAATAAACTCCAAGCTTGAGGAGGAAAAAAAGGCTTTAATTGGACAACCTTTTCTTTAATTCATCTTCAACTCATTTCCATCATCAAGGTTATCAGTTTCATCATGACTTCATCATAAACAGTTGTTGAATGGTTTAACCAGAAAATGAAAATTTTCACCTTTTTTCTTCTTCTCTTTTCTTCTTCTTCTTCTTCTTCATCTTCCATTCAAAAACAGATTTACAATTTTGACTGTTTTTTGAAACACAAAAAATGCAAAGAAAAGCAACTTTTCAAATTCAATTACAAATGTAATCAAAGTGAAACTTTATCAATGAGAAACGTCAAAATTCAATCTTTATTCAATTGAATTATAAATGCAAAAATAAGCTGTAAAAGTGCAAATTAAAAGTAAAGAATTGAATCATTTCTTTTCCCCTGAAAAACACAAAACAAAAAGGTGAACAAAAGCAACTCAACATTATTCAGCTTATTATTTTGCAATTAATTCATGAACAGTTTTCAAGTGTTTTAACATTATCACAAAAGGTGCAAAATTGTACATATTTTTGGGCAAAGAAAATGAAGAAAAAAAAGGAGAAAACATGAATTTCAAGTGACAGTTGAGCAAAGTCATTGTAATTCATGGAAAAGTGACATTTGCGACTTTTAACGAGTCTCGATGTTTGCGTCACAATTGTCGTTCTAATCAATCTGTCGATTCAATTTACTTTATTCAATTTTTACCTTTTTTCTGTCTGCCTTCTAATTGATTCTCTTCTTGTAATCAGCAAAGTTGATGATTCAATTGGATTGTTTCATTGTTGATCAGATAATGATTACTGTTTACAAATTATGGTTAGTTGAATTAGTGATCATCAATGGAATGAAAAATTCTGTTCATGTTGATTTCCTGAGCTTCTTCTTTGCCTTTCTCCTTGTCAGACAAAATAATGTCCAATATTAACTTGAAAAACCTCAAGAGATTGCCATTGATTTATTTGTAATAATAACATTTCCAACTGATTGTCGGTCAATTATCAGAACAATCACAACTTATAATCTGATTGATAATTGTTGAGTCAAGTTGCAATCGTTTTTTCTCTTCTTTTCCTTCTTCTTTTTTCACCCAATACCAGGAATTAATGGAGGAAACTCTTTGGAATACAAATCAACAGCATTTGCATTTTCATCTTTCAGCTTGAAAAATAATTATCTCAATGATGTAAAACAGGGAACGTAGAAAGCAATCACAATTTTGATGGTAAATCGTAAATCAAACAAGACATTTGATTATTGATTCAAGTTTATCACAATTTCCGAGAATTTTGCCGAGAAAATATTTTTTATTTTCAACATTTTTTTCCTCATTTCTTGAAATGAAATCAACTTTGATTAAAAGAGTTTCAAGATTATTGTGTCGAGTTATTGTCGCTATTTTTTTGGATTTTGGAGGAAAATAAATTTCGACAAATTGTCTCTGAAATAATGATCATTAAATTTAATTAGAATGATGAAGATTTGCAATTATTGTTGATATTGTTAAGAGCTTTTCCATTGTTCAACTCATTTGAATATCATGTAAACTGATGGATTAAGTTTTGTTTTTGTTGCGCTTTTTTGTGCTCAGCAATTAATAATTATTAATATTATAATATTAAATGAATAAAACTTGGAATAAAGTGTCGGTTGAAAATTTGAGTTATGGTTAATACGTTTGATTGGCAGCAACAAAAGGCCGAAACAAACAAATGAATCAAATGATAATGAGGAATAATGGAAAATATCAGATTACAAGAAAACAAGTTTACCTTTTTTTGTACAAATTGTTCAACAGTAATTAACTTTAATTAACTGTTTACTTTACAGTTTCATCCGTGAACCATTAAATTTAAGTGGTTACTTTTCAGGCATGTTTTAAAATCATCATTCAGTGCAATCAAGAAGCTGATTTCAGTGAAAGTGTAATGGCTAAGAGTCTCATTGAGCCTGAAACGCAAGCTCATCAAGTTGACTTGTTAGTGAAAGTGCCTCTTTTCACAAGCTTCATCTGTTTCATCCAGAGTTGAACCAATTCAAATGATTGCAGAACTTGATTTCATCGAGATTTTACATTCGACATTTGACACTGAGCTTATAAAAAGAGCTCACTATCATATATCAAGTCTTGTTAACGGTTACACTCCAAAAAAGATTTTGGCTTCCATTGGAATATAAATAATCGGTTTTAATGTTAGGCTTAGGTTGTCCAAGATATTCATGGCCAGTCAGGGTTAGCTCACCCTTCTCCACTTTAACTATTCAATCAATGGCTACCTAAAGGGAAGATAAAGACATAAAAGTATAAGTCACAATCAACCTTTAAATTGAACAAAACCTAATAGTATAAGCATAAAAAACTCACCAATAACCTATTAGCTTTTTGCTGCTGGTCACCCTCCGCGCCTTCTTGAGCTTTTGACAATTTGAGCTTTTGGAACTGATGACATAAGGCTGAACTAATATTTAACGAAAAAACACCAACTGAACTCGTAAAACGATAAAAAATGAATAGAAACAATAAAAATTGAAAACCCAGTTTGCTTCATTAACTTGCCCTCTTATACAGCTGAGCATTTTGAAGCCTTATGAATAGCAAGTGTTAGCTATTCCCACGAAATTATTCTTACTAGAGACACAAACATTTTAATGGAACTAAAAATTTGATTAAAATTAAATTTTCAGATTAGATTATCATAATTTGATTGTCATTAGTCATCACAGTTGTTAATTAATGTTTCGATATGAATTTATAATTTTATATCAAAAGCTAAATCGACATAACAGAGTCGATTAATCGATAGTCTTGAAGGATTGATCAGTGAATATTGACTATTTCAAATTTAGAGCAACAATTAAATAGCAATCTAAACGGTAAACTAAAAGGTGGAAAAAGGTAAAATGATTGGAAAATTGATTGATATGTTGGCGAAAATAATGATGAAAATGAACAAATGCTCGCGAATTGATTGAATATTGTTGAAGAATGTTTTACCTTTTTTTAATCAATGATACAAAATAAACAATAAATTTGTGAAAAGTTAACAATAAACAATTGATGGAAAAATAGTTCGCCCATTACCTTGAAGTTTGCTGTTCATCATGCTCAGGATCATTCAGTGATGATAATCGTCAATTTGAACAACAAGTTAAATGAAAGTTTGTTGAGTTTTGAAATTAAATTTGATTTACCTTGAAAAATGCGGCAAATCATCATTTCTGTATTGAAATTGGGAAAAGAAGAAAAAAATTTGTTGAAATTAATGTTAACATTGCTGCATCACATCAGAATCTCAATTAGTTTTTCATGTTTTGCTTTTCACTTTTGTTTTCTGTAAATTCATCTACAATTTGAAAAAGCCAGATTTGCGTGTTTCATAACTATTTGTGTTGCTTGTTTGAAGGGTTTCATGTGATGTGTTGCTCATGAAAGTTGATGAGAAAAGGAAGATGAAATTGAAATTAAATTAAGGTAAAAAAGAGATGAAAGAAGAAGGGAAAAAAGGAGGAAAAATTGGTAAATTATTAGTATTGCCGGATCATTTCATTCATTTTCATACCAACATTTGCTCTTTCATTTCTCTCTTTTATTCCTAATCAAATAAATTTCTCGGTGTAACCTTCAGACAGATTGTGAACATTTGTCTCGTTGGGTTTCACGAAAAGTTCATCATGAATTTGATCATTTCCGTTGAGCACACTTTCTTTTCTTTTTCCTCCTTCTTCCAACTTCCTTTCTTTAGCCAATTTCAAACTTGAAAACAATATCAATCATGAGAAACAAAAGTAATGAGAAAAAAGTGTAAAAATAAAGTAATTTGTTGAACTGCATTTGTTCATTGGGATGATGAACAATCTATTAAAATGTATATTTAATAGCTTTTGTTGATCAGTGGTCAAACCAGTTGGAGTGAATCAAGTAAATTTTATGCACAAAAGCATTTACCGCAAAAGTTAAGTTCAACCCAAAGTAATTAACCAAGAAATTGTTGCAAATCCAATCGATTAATAGAGAGCGAAAAATTTGATGAAAAAAAAATACAATAAAACTCAAAGTTTCCTGTCGTGGTTGCCATTTGAAAGGTTAACTACAATTAACTTTAACTGAATTAAAATCTATACATTCAATATATAAAGTCGAAACATGAAATATTGAGTAAAAATTGTGGCCAAACTGAGCGGGTTTTCAGGAAAATTTTCACACAGCATGTAAGCCAGAACTTCATTGGAGTTCAGGTTACTGAGAAATTCATGTAAATAAAGGCAAGAGAAGTGCAGAAGCCGTAAAGAGAAACATCGATTATTCGGGTTGATTGTTTATTTTTGGGTCATGAGTATATGTAAAACTGCGTCTTTTGAGTAAAGAGTTTGGTGAAAAAATCTGGTTTTTCAAATGTGGGCAAAAAAAACTTCATCTTTGAACTTGATTTCCTCGAGAAATGTCGATCAGGCAAATTTACAATCGCCGAATGGAGTGCATTTTCATGCCTCTGCACCAACAAGTAACTCTCAGATCGGTTGTTTAAAGGTACAGAAACCAATTTAAAAATTAATCAATCAAAATTTTTTGAGTCCTGCATCGCCAAAGCAAAAGCCAATCTTGATCAAGCTCGAACTGAGACTTAACCGGTTTGCAGATGATCTAATAGTTTAGTTTCAGGTTTTAAAATTTCCAATCGTAAGTGAACTGTTTGTATCGAATCAACTTGAGTCATCATTTGATTGGTACTTGATTAGTTTGCTGCATGAACCAGTTTTGGCAATGTAATTACACAAATGAAACTTCGAATCAACGAAGTCAAGTGAACTGGGAGTTAACATGTTTCAAGCGGTAAACATGAACTGACAAACTGAGAATGTTTCTTGAAATCAAATCAGCTTTAGTCATCGAAGTAACCTTATCAATTGTCTCAATTTGTTACAATAATAACGCGAAATAACCCGATATCGAACCACAAATAAGTAAATATTTGTTAAAGAAACTTAGGATTTGAAAGTTGAACTCTTATCAATGTGGCAACATTTAACATGTTTATTAAGATTGAATCAATTTCATTGAATTATTAAGTTAACTTATTATAAAAAGTTTGTATTAAAAATAGCAATGAGTAGTTCAAACGCAAATGAAATTAAACTTTAAATTTGTCGAGTCAACAAGTGGATTTACAGTTGAGAGCATTACACTGCAATTTGATTCAATTTTTGGACCAATTAATACTCGAAATGAGAAAAATAAACAATGAAATTTTCAATGAAACTTCATTCCCAGCTACAGAAAGCAAAGTAGAAAAAAACATTTCTATTGAAATTTCAACATGAGATAGTTGAAAAGAAGTATTAAGATGATTGGAGAAGAAACAAGTTTACCATTCTTTGGGTATTATCAATTGAATAAAGATTGTTCAGAAAATGATGTTACCATTATATAACAAGTTTCAGGGTTTTACGAATTATTTGTTTTCCTTCCTTTTCATCTTACCTTTAGCGTAAGTTGCATTTGATGAAGATGAAGAAGATGGAGAAGAAGAAAAAAACAAAAATACAATTTAATCTAGAAACAATCATGTTGATTGAATCATCTGAATTTGCTTAATGTCACAAGGGAAATTAATAACAATCTTTCTCTTTAACCTTTTACTTTATAAATGCATAACTATTACATTCAATCTTTTCAACCTAAGAATATGAAAACAAGTTTCGACAAAAAAAGTTGTCAAAACTCGAACAGAAACTTGTCCAGAAAAAGTTCACAAAAAGAACGCTTAAAAACGAAAATTTCCCTTTTACCGATTTTCCAAACATTATCTCACAGGGAATGACATCAAGAACTGGGAGTGAATAATGCAAATAAAAGTCAAAATCAAAGGATAACTTGAAATGGATTGAACCAAAGCAAAGAGTTTGATTACAAAAGTTGAACAATGGACCTTTAAAACGCTAATTATGGATACTTTTAAATTTCCATTTTTCCATGAAAATGAAGTTCGAACATGAAACTGGATAATCATTGAAATGATGCTCTAAATTAGTATTATTCACTTGGAAAGTTTCGTTTTTTTCTCTGTTCGTTTGTTCAAATTTCAGGGAAATGATGAAAGGTTGAAATTGGTTGAAAGGCGATAAAAAGGTTCACAATGACAAAGGAAACTCGAGGGAATCTTTGAGCTATTATTAAACCTGGTTTCTCCTCACTTTTCACCCATTCATTATCAACTCATTTTTGATTTACATTCTTACCCTGGACTTGACACTTTATCATCCACTTGTTTCCCACTCACCATGAGAAATCAATGAATCAATCAGAATCCAATGCAAATGCAATAGCTGTCGAGATTCATTTAAATAATCGCATCCCAAATCAGCAATTAATCTCAATTGCATCTTTGCTTCTCTCACCTGTTTTCAAGAACTTTATCAATCTTTAATATTCACTGTTTACTTCATCATTTTTTCCTCTCTATTCATGATGGATTCTTTCACTTTTTTTCTCATTGAATAACAAACATTTTCTTGCCAATTGAATATTTATGTTTCATATAAATATTCAATTGACCTTTTCTATTAACCATTTTGTACAGAATATCATTTTTATTGTTGATGCATTTGCTATTCATCAGTTTAGGTTTGTTTAAAAGTTGCTTTTACTGTTCAACCTTTTCATGAGTAAACTTTTTTGTTTTCATTTTTTTACTTTTAAACACATTTTAATGTCAATTTCAATTATAACCAAAGTCTAAATTTGATGGAAAGCTTTGGATTCTTTGCTTTGTAACTTTTCAGTCATCATGAATGTTATTCAGTCAATATTGATTGTATCATGGATAAAACTCAACAGAATCAAGTGTCCATGATTTTTTCTTCTTTGCCTTTTGTTCACCTTTTTTTCACTCTCATTGACATTCTCGGTGATTGATGACATTCTGTGAGGAAAAACAATGAAGGCAAAAGATGAAAGCTACCTTTTCCTCTTCTTTCATCATCTAAGGAACATGTTAAAACATTGATAAAGCTATTAATAAAAATGTTAAGCACTCATCAAATTGGTGATTGGATAAGTTGGATGAGTTGCTGATTCAAGTGAAATTCAATGATTATTCAATCAGAGCATAAATTGAAAGGATAATCGATATGAAATTCAATTTTTAGATGTGATTCAATTAGAGAAGCGATTTAAACAAAATTACAAGTTAAACATTAGTTATTATAAAGGATGAAAATGAAAAAATTGAAAAAGATCAACAATTGCAGTTGAACCTTTCAAGATTAGTTTTTGATGAAAAAATGAAATGTTTCATTGCTATTTCAACCTTTTCACTGTAATGCAATTGATCCAGATAAAGGCTCGGAATGATCGTGTTTAATAGTTTTACAGTTGAAGATCATAAACTATAGCTTTTAAGAGACTCGATTTTAGATTAAAATCTTGAATCTTTGTGTTACATTTCACTAACCACAGTATAATCCAATAGCATTTGTAAAGGATAAACTGATTGCTTTTCTTATCCACCAATTTGTAATTTCCATCAACCTAAAGATTCCAACTTTTCTTCTTGTTTTAACAAAATTCAATGTTTGAGGAAAATCGCAATTTCTTAACAATTAATAGATCGTTTAGTGTTGATGAAGAGCATTAACTCTCAATGAAATGCTTTTAATTTACAAACAACTGAGTATTAAATTGGAACTAGGATTTCCAGGCTCATTATCCAACTTCCGAAAGTAATT